CACACTCCGCGTGTGCCTGCCCTCAAATTTCATAACGGGAAATCGGAAATAGCTGTCAGATACATAGCTACAGATAACTATGTGTAGTTTTTACAGTACGTTTTGCAAAAATCTGCAAATGACAACCGAACACACTTTAAAGTTGAAACGTGTGCCTTTTACCTTCGAAAATGTAAACGTAAATTAAACGAACTCGACTACGAACGGGATATTGTGTTGCAAGCTGAAGCCGCACTTCTTTGCCGTTACGGTAAAATCAGTAGACTGAGCAGAGCCACACATCCTGCGCCAGGTGGCGGCTACTCACTTAACTGCGCTCGTTAACTGGTTTTTGACGTCCCGTAGACTTTCCATGTTAGAGTTATGAATTTTTTCTCCAAATTGTTTATGTTTTTCTGAAATCTGATAACTTTGTACAAATCTACACATTCTGGGCTATCGAACGGTATATAGACATTCAAGTTTGGTTGAACGTGTCTATGACTTAGACCCTGACACACACAAATTTTGTGCACCTTCTTATTCTTTTAGATAGATAGATTTTATATCGGCCATCTGGAGTTAATTTTTAAACAGTGTTAATCTTAAAACCGGAGGGGTGAATAACTTCGATTTTATTAGTGATGTGCTACTAAATAAAACTAAATAAATGCTATTTAATTAGTAAAAGCTTCCCTAAAATTAAATGTGTAGTAAACAGTAAAGTTTTACAGGTAAAATTAGTAAAAGTAAGTAAGTATTCAGCTACAATAGTGAATAGTAAGTAAATAGTAAGATTTTGCTTTCACTAAATAAAAGCTATTTACTAATTCATTTACTAATCGCATTTTAGCAAATAACCAGAAGACATACAATGTCAGAAAACATTCCGGATGCGAGGGAATTAATTGGATTTTATGGATTTTATGGATTGACAATTAGCACGGACTGTTTTGTGGATTGACAATATCGACGTCGGAATGACAATTGGGCTTTCGCACAGATTACTTGGGGGGAACTTTTGTGAACCCCAGGTGATGCGGGTATGTCGTTTCGCATCGTTAAACGGCACTCGTTTTCTCTGCTCTGTTTGCTGGCTTGCGGAATTCTTTTATAGCTTCTAACTATGCCAGGAGATCAGCCAAAAGAGCCTTGCCACATATGTGGAAAGCCCTTCACTAAAGGCGCTGGGCTCTCCAACCATGTTAAAGCCTGCGCCAAGAAAGCACCCACACAAGCTCCTGGTTCCACGTCCTCTCCACCCGACCAACAACCGCTTCAATCCTTTTTGGCCGGGAAGCATTACGCCGTCCCAAAAAGAGTGCCGAAGTCTGTCCGACGCCTGTGTGCTCAGTCCCTGACCGAAGTCCTCCGTACATGCATCAGAGAAAACACATCGGCGAGCTGGGCAGATTTGCTGTTGTTTGGATCAAGAGCCCTCTGCTTGCCCGCCACCAAAACCCTCCGCAAAGAATCCCTGTCCTCCATGATACGCAAAAATTTGTCGGATTTGTCTCGCCATCAACATCCTCCACGTCAACATGCTCCTCCACGAACTCAGCAGGGTGAGCTATCGAGCGAGCGCATGTCAGCCCTGCCACATCGATGTTGCAGGACAACAACATCAGACGCGCCATTGGACTGGTAATGGGCGACGATTCAGTAGCGCCAGTAAATGCGGAAACCCTTAAAGAGCTGCGCAACAAGCACCCTTGCGAACCTGCGGATAGTTTGTATCCCCTCCTCCCGACCAGTCTAACGTACCGCCCTCAGTAGCACCTGCCGAAGTGCTTCAAGCAGTCATGAGCTTCCCTTCGGGTTCTACCGGTGGCTTTTCGGATCTACGCCCACAACATCTGAAAGACCTCCTAGGCGGCCCGCCGAAGAAAGCGAGTTGTGCTGTGCTCTGGCTGATTTTGTTAATCATGTTCTGCAGAGGCGTTCGGAGGACATTAGACCGTTTTTCTTTGGAGCAAGGCTAATCTCCTTGCCAAAAAGACGGAGGAATTCGGCCAATTGCAGTTGGGGAAACGTTTCGCCGTTTAGTCTCTAAAATAGTAACCCAGCGTTGTTCTGACAAGATGAAGGAATTGTGCGACACTGTGCAGTATGGCTGTGGCACGAAAGGCGGAGCCGAAGCAATTATTCACGGGGTCCGCTCGTACCTGGAAGCTACACACGACGGAGAACGAGTACTGGTAAAGCTGGATTTTAAGAACGCTTTTAACCTTTTGAGACGGGACGCGTTATTGGAAGCCGTAAGACAGCATTTTCCCAATTATTACGGCTGTTTCTGGCAATCTTATCGTTATGCGAGCCATTTGGTTTGTGGGGAAGAAGTTTTGTCGTCCGCCCGGGGGGTGCAGCAGGGCGATCCAAGTGGCCCCTTCGGTTACAGCCTCACATCGCTACCGCTCTTCGACGGACTAGATTGCGATCTGTTCCTGGGCTTTCTTGATGATGTTACTCTGGCCGGTACCATGGAGAAAGTGATCGCTGCGATAAAACATATTGAAGAGAAAGGGAAGAAGATGGGCCTTGAACTGAATTTCAACAAATGCGAGTTTTACCTCATCAATTCAACTGTGGATGCGGGTAAGCCTTTGTTGGAAATATGGCCAACAATGATCCAGTTAAATCCAGAAAACCTTTACCTGTTGGGCGCACCTTTAAAACCAGCCGGTTGTGCGAAATTCCTGATGGAAAAGAAAGATCACCTAAGCAAGTTTGTACAGCGGCTCACGAAGCTACCTGCACATTACAGCCTTTTCTTTTAAAAAATTGCCTTAGCATCCCCAAGGTTTTATATGGCCTACGCACTGCCCGATGCTATGAATTTCCAGAGCTGTTGAAAGATTATGACCAACAACTGCGGAATGGTGTGGAACAGCAGACCAACGTAAGCATAACAGAAGCCCAATGGATGCAGATGGCTTTACCAGTTCGGCGTGGTGGATTGGGAACGCAGCGCATAGAGTCACTAGCTATTTGTGCCTTTTTGGCATCGGTGCACGCTGTGCAGCCTCTCGTTTCCAGATTTTACGCGCCAGCTGGTGACCATATGACACAATCGGCTGTACAGAACTGGCTTCAGATGACACACTGCTCGCTACCAGAAGATTGTGTGCGAAAGTTTCAGTACGTGTGGGATGTGCCGATGATTGACAGGGATGTATCAAAACTGATGTTATCAACGGTTGGTGATGAGCGCGCAAGAGCCGTATTGTTGGCTGCATTTAGCAGAGATTCTGGGGCCTGGCTGAATGCATTACCGGCGCCTTGTCTTGGAAAGTTTTTACGAGATGAAGAAGTAAGAGTAGGAGTGGCATTACGTTTCGGATTGCCCGTAGTGACAGCTCATAACTGCGTGGCATGCGGCAAATTAGTGGAAACGAATGGCCATCACGGGCTTTCCTGCAATAAATCAACGAAAGGGCGATGGGCCAGACATAGAGAAATGAACAGTATTGCCCAAAACTGTTGCGAGAGTGCAGGATTCCCATGTCAACTGGAACCGACAGGCCTGTCACCAAGTGCGGCGATTCGACCTGACGGCATGACGCTTATTCCAGTCCGTCAAGGAAAGTCTGTTGTATGGGATGTCACAAGTTGGTGTACAGTAGCCGATTCCCATGTCCACGGAAGTTCGAAGAAGGCAGGAAGTGTGGCTCACTTGGCAGAAAATGAGAAGCGACGGAAGTACTCTCTACTGGAAAGCAGACACCTTTTCTATCCCTTAGTTGTTGAAACGTTCGGTGTCTTTGGCCTAGCTTTAAGTGAATTTGTACATTTTATGGGCCGTAAAACTCGTGAATTAACTGGAGAAGCGCGTTTTACTGCTTTTATGAAGCAACGTTTTAGTTTGGCTGTCATTAAGGGAAATGCTACTGCTGTGTTAAGTACGTTGCCTTTTAATCCGCGGGCGGATAGAGATTTTGGTTGTTTTTTTAATGTTTAAATTTTAACTGTAAAGTAGTGTGCCCGCGCTTGCACTTTTGTTGTTATGGTGGCTATTGCCCAATAAACTGTAACCAGAAGACTCGTTGCTGTACAGTACTGGGGCAGGTTCATCATTAACGGTGTTGCACACTAAAGTTGGTGTCTTAACAGACGGTGGTATTGCTGTTCACGTAAACGCAATGTACCGCCAACCCGAAACTGCGGTTACGTTACGTATAATCTTAGAAATTTGAAATGCAGCAGCATGGCAAGCTGATTGTGCAGCACAGTTGTACTGCTTGATTTTGCGCCCTTACAGTCCGTAGATTCGCATAAAGCCATAAAGTATAGTATATTTGATTCCTTCATGAAAAGCGCAAGCGTCCCAGTTCTTATAACAGTGAATTAAAAATTGAAATAAATTTATTTAGTATAATTAGTAAGTAATTGGTTGGGAAGAATGGAAATAGTAAGTAATAGTAAGTATGCGAAAAATTTTGGGGTTAATAGTAAGTAATAGTAAGTAAAAGTTTCGGACGATTAGTAAATAGTAAGTAAGGTTGCAGGAAGCTGTAGTAGCACATCACTAGATTTTATATCGATGGAGAGTATGAAGAATCCTGCTGGTGTTGTGGAAAGTCCCAACGAAAATGGAGTGCGTGATTGTGACGTAACAGTAGCAGCTTCAGACAGTCAAAGGGCCATGGATTTTTCAAGAGCTGGCAGACGGAACGAGTGTGTCCCCTTTATCAAAGTCCTCCAAACCCCAGTTGCAGTGGATTCCTCGGGTCCCGCAACTTTGCTTGATCCCTGCAGCGTCGATTCAGGTAATTCTGAAAATTAAGTTATGAAGATCTTTGAGAGAATACTTTTTCAATTACGATTCTGAGCCGCGAAGCATGACGTATTTTTTACAATTACAGTTTACTGAATCTGGTTTTCCAGTACGCAGTTCTTGGAAGTAATGTGTATTTGAACACTCACTAAGCATTCAAAACGCTGTTGGTATTCAAACCGCCACCCAGCAAGGGCAGCCATTCTGATTCGACACAGTAATTTCGGCTGTTGGTACGACCACCTTTTATTTCCAAAAACGCGATAACAATATCAAGAATCAGTTTCGGTTGAAGAAATCAACAATTTCAACCGTACCAGTAACAGAAGCGGCATTACCCCTTTGAATTGCTAATGACATATTCTGCCTTAAAAACTCATGGCTTCTTATCTCGCCGGTTTGTAACTCGATCCTCCTTCCGACTTCTTTGAGCAGCTTCTTAGCCGATGTACCAAAACTACCAAAAGTCTCGAAACCGACAGCGGCAAACTCATATCGTCCTGACAGGAAGCTGTACTTCTTCATTTTTTCCGCTTCAGCATGGTCGGCTGCCGCTCCGGCCTTTACGCTGGTTAGGTCCAAGTGAGAGCGGGCGACAGTGTCGACGCAGGTTACGTCCCATGCTAAGCATAACCCTCGGGCCCAAGGGAAGGTAGTGATTCCATCTGGGCGTGTGTCGTTTTCGTAGTGCATACCTCTAGGTTCCGTTCGCGCGGGGATGCCTGCTGAACCCAAAGCCCGACGCAGAATATCGTTGATGCAGTCGTGTCTTGGCCTTCTTCCAGCTGAAAATTTGCAACTTAGGCCATGGTGGCCGTTAGCGGCGACATCGGTACCACACCTGCACTGGTGTTTGGCGGAAACAGGTGCGCCCAGACGAATGGCAACGGCGATGCGGAAAGATTCGTCGTCCAGGAGATTACCGATGGAGGACGAGGGTAGTGCGTGGGTCCACACACCGGACTCTGGTGTTGAAACAGCCAGCAGCCGTGCCTTATTAGTGGCATCTGACGCTTCGTACAGCAGAGTTGCCTGTTCTGCTAAACAGTAAGGCGTATCCCAAGCACGTTGTAAGTGTCTGCTTTCGGAGAGAGGCGGCGAAGCGTCGTCAGAGAGATAGCTCCAAAGTGCAATGTGGTCATCCGCGGCAACTCCTGTTGAGTGTGGCAGTAGTTTGGAAACCAGGCTACGGGTAGCATAAATCGAGGCCAAATAGGCCGGCAATGATAATTCATCAACCCGTCGGATACCAAGTCCACCGCAACGCACTGGCAAGGAAGCTTGACGTTGCGCAGGCTGATCCATTCGAACATTACAAAAAGACTGTAACGTATCCCTCAAGACTGCGTCGAACTCGATAAGGCTATCTCGGGCTTCAAAAGATGGACAACACCGCAACAGATGGATTACCTTTGGTGCGCTGAGACTGCATTTCAGCAAGAAGTAAGCTTGGTGTTTCGGTAGCAGCTCGAGACGGTTGGCTATCAGGCGCATCACTTCTGTCTTCTGTTGGATCGCAGACTTAATTCCGTCCTTCAGCAGTGGTGCGCCAAGTAAGCTCAAATTTTCTGCTACGGCGACAGTGACTGTTGGAAACCGGTTCAGGAAAGTGCTAATAGCCGAGTCTTGGTCTTCAACGGTGCCGCCACTCACGAAGATTTCACACTTTGACATGTTAACGCTTAATCCAACTGCGCGTGCGGCATCGATCACAGTCTGAAAGTCTTCTGCAACAGTCTCGACATCCCCACCCATTGTACCGTCGTCAAGGAACCAAGCGTTAAACTTGGACTTCAGCGCAGATGTTATTGGAAGAATTCCCATGGAAAACAAAAGCGGGCCAAGAGGATCGCCCTGGTGGACACCACACTGTGAAGACAGGACGTCGTCGATGTACAAATCAGTATGGTAGCCGTAGCACGCGTGCAAGTAGTCCGCATATTCAGGGAGGTGAGCACTAGCAACGTGGCTGTTGGTTAAAGTGTTACCGTGGTTGGGGTTGGGTGGCGGTCTGGATATAAAGCGTTTTGAATACTCACTGTGGTCTTCTAAATATTGCACGAAAGCGACATTACTTCCAAGTTTCCAACTACGTAAGTACTGCTGTAAACACTTCCCAGTTCACGAGTACCGAGGTGTCTTAATGTAAATGTTTTCCAAATATACCTACTTATACGCGTTTCAGGGATACATTTCGGGGTCGGGTAGTTGTAATCATTCTTTCTTATGCGTCCTTATAAAAACTAACAGCCACTTTTTTGCTGAAGCGTTTATTTCTAGATGAAATACGTACATAACATGCATGATTTCTGTCGTTAACTCTTTCGCTTGACGTTAGCGCTTTCATTCAGAACAGTGGTTTTTAAGAACATTTCTGCCGGATGCAGACGCTGACCGGAAGTGTCTATACAGAATTTTAAAGACAGGGAGCTCTTTAAGAGCTGCATTTTGTTGCAGGAACTCCATGTTCAGCTGAGGTACTGACGCTAAGCCGGTTCGCGCTCGGGCCACTTGCGAAGCGCCAGAAGACGGGAAATAGCACCTTAACGTCAGCCGTCTCGAAATCGACATGTGAGCTTGACGGCCTTCGATTCTTGCCCGTGGAAATCATGGCCGAGGCATTCGAGTACCTGCACACCGTTGACCGGCTGCGGGCGGTGTGCGCCGGCTGGAACTGCATCCTCACATCTGCCGCGGTTAAACGCTTGGTGCACAATTAGACTGCCATCCCAGGAAGGCTGGTCAGCTTGGAGGCGCTTTTCGCTATCATGCGGTGGCACGACTTATGTCCCTAGTGTATGTGCACACCACTGTAGCGGAAATCGCGATGTAGCCGTTTCTTGCTCCGTCTCGATGCACAAGAAAGATACGTTTGATATGCTATTATTTGATTACTTCTTCCTGTGTGAGAGCGTGCAAGGAGGAGCCGAACAGAAAGTCTTCTTGGACAACCTGGTGCTAAAAGATGTTGCCTGCTGGATTATGCCGTTCGATGAAGATTACATTTCCGCCCTTCAAAACGCATTTGACTCGCTGGTGGCGATTTGTCGTAACCTGGCCGTGAAGAATTTCAAGTACCAGGTTACAGCGTCTTACCGGGATGGCAGCGTACTGATGACGATGCGAATTCCTTTTGGAAAACTGAATCATGATCGGCGTCTCACTGTCACTGATTGGTGGGACATGATTGAGCAAAGCTGCCCTCTGCTGGACGATCAACAGAAGAATCGGCTCTCCGATGTCTTGAGCGGCCGTGAACAAGTCCATAATTTTGTTTACAAAGATCTACGAAAGGTAAAACAGTCTAATAATTGTAGTCGTGGGAAGAGCGCGTGAACGCCGTTGTAACTGCTGCGCCGTAGAGCTTATTGTGTGGTTTTGCGCCTTGCAGATTCTGCGTTGGCGTCAACATGGGGATCCTCGGAAGAGTTGCATTGTCCTGGATCCGTGGTGTGATAAGCTGGAGTCTGTTGCTGTGAACCAGCTGACGCGAATGGTGCAGTATCTGATGTACTGTCGCATAACCAAAACAGAATTCGACATTGAATTGGCGTGGTTTACTCCTTAATGCCTTCCCATGGAACGAACTCTCCAACTGTGTCAGTTTGCCGCTTTATTATTCACCGGCTTTCGTGCAATTTCGGTCTGCATTTGCTTTCGCTCTTTGTTGCTGTAACATAGTTTTCGAGCTGTAATCGCGGAGGAATGGTGTTTTTCTTAACTTGCTCTTATCCCTGTTTCCCAGTGTATACTCAGTTATGTATATTCATATTACAATGTCCATTTTGTAGCATCTTTGATACCCTTTTAGAATCTTTTCGAAGGAACGCTGCTGCTAACTGCTGGCATAAGAATAATAATGGTACAAAAACGTGAGGCAAGACGGATACTTTTACTGAGACGTATGATCAGTTATCAACAAACAGTAGCGGAACTTACAACCCTGAGCACTTACGGCCAAAGTAACTTCCGTCTTCCGTAAGTAATCCTGTGTAATAAAAAACAGTTAGTGCCGGCGACGATAACGTTACGATTTGCGGACACCACATTTTCCGCAACGGTGAACATAGAAGATCTCCACTACGTTTCGGCCAACACATCGATTCACCGATCCGGTAACCGTATGGTATATGTGGCGTAGTGTCGTCAGAAATGCATTTCGTTGTGCCACTTAGTTTTGTTTGGATCGTCTTCTAGTACAATATATTTTATGCATGTTATTACCTTCCTGACAGATTTGTACCGGCACTGCACCTGTTGCTGCAGCTGTAGATAATCCGGTGTTCCACACATGTACCGGATGTACGTACTGGTTACAGAGACATCTTATCAGTGGTCTATTGTCTACCACAAACTGCACTGATAAGAACCACATGTTCGTTCCATAATGGAAGTAGCGCGATGAACGCTAGCAGTAATTACAGCAAGCATTATAACATGATTATTCTGACTAATACATATACGTTGTAAAGACGGACACGTAAACAAACGACTGAACAATTCTTTCTCAGTTTTTCCTAATTATCCTTTGCGCTTTTTTTTAAAAATCCTCGGGATAGAAAAAAAATTACTTCAGTCTAAGTTATTCCGTTATCTTTCTCTGCCGCAGTATCACTGGATTTTCTGCTCTGGATTACACTTTTGATCATTAGCATCATTCAATCGTCGCTACAATCCAGGATTCGTATGGCATGTGTTAGTGTTTTGTGGAATAAAACGCGGAACTGTTAGTTCCATGGTGAAGATGGCCCTGTCCACTGTCTGGTACGGAGGCGTGCAGATTATTCTGGGCCTCATCATCGCCGTTCCCAGCATGACAATCCGTGAGATCACTTTCAAGTTTTCTGTAGTTTACTGCGTAATTTTATCCACCATTCCCGAAAAAAGTGTTTACAGTGTGTTTATGAAGAACAAATCACTCGTTGTGGGACACGTGCCAGAACCTACAAAACCGTTATTTTTTTGCATATTTAAAACTCGAAACGGCTTCCTTAAAAGTAAGCTTTTGAATATGGTTACAGAGTACTTTACCTGTTTTGCAGAATCTCTCAGCACGACGATCGCGCTCTGCGTATCATTGCTCTTAACTGGTATCTACGCGCTGCTGGGTTCCAGTTACATCAACAGCACCCGGCAATTATTGGAGGCGTCGCGGCGGACCCAGCCGGAGAACGTCCAACTGCCGACGGAAGAACGCCTTGTCAAGATCCACGGACAGTTCCTCAAAGTGTACGCAGCTGCGTGCGGTGTCTTGATTGTCCTGAGCATCGCTTCCGGGATCCACGGCACGGTGTACTATTTCGGGGAATTCGGCGGTGGGGTAACTCCTAGCACCCAATTCGATCACGGTTCCACGGCCGCCATTGCCGGTGTGGCGTCCATTGTTATCAACATTTTTATTGCCGGTATAGAAAAAATTTGATTTACATACATTAGGATATCAATGCTTTCGAATTTTTCGTTATTTTCTTCTTGTAATCGAAAGGCCCAGGTACTGTATCAAAATTTAGGATACAGTAAAAAGCAGCCAAGCGGTCCGCGTCCCAAGCTGGGATAGTTCGGTTAACAAGCAGTATGTATTAACTTAAAACATCCAGTGCGCATTTCAGCTTTTCTACAAATTGAGAAAAGCGGTAAATGATTTTCCGCTACAAACTTAGCCGTAATTCTTGTAACCAAAAAAATCAGCTGAAAACACTGGTTTCCTTTCGAGAAGTGTGCGTTGGCTTTACCCACTGAAATTTTGTTCACCTGGTCCATGGGCCAAGAATTTCGAAGAACAGAGATAATGTCCTAAATTGTGCGTTTCCGACTTCTTACGACAACGGTGTTTTCGATGACCGGTGCATTTAAGTTGAGTGATTTACCGTACATCGAAACAAACGCAATTTTTGCAGGCAGCTGTATAGCGGACTACAAACGCTTACGCGCCCACGGCTACGAGCGCCCCCGCTCCCCCACCCCCAGCTCGGGCCACACGGATCCCCGCATGGACATCGCCACCATCCCGGTGGACCCGGCCATAGCCTTCCCGCCGCCCTATTCACAGATCCACCTGGATCCCAAGGGCGACGACTACGAACTCCCGCCGTCGTACTTGGAAAGCACTTCCGCCAGCACCAGCACCAACAGTCTCCCGGTGACGTCGGAGCTGGCTCTAGCGGTACCCTTCTGTATGGGCGAGCCGGTGCCCTATGTCGACGTGCCACTAGAAAGGACAATCACACCGTTCACGTTTATCGGTGTGGAGAATGTCGGGCAAGGAGAAACCTTGCCGCCGGTTCCTTATGGCGTGCCAGTAGAATGGTCACCGACAGATGCTGCCGTGACGGTCCAAAACAGTACAGAGCCGGAAACAGCTGTTCCGGCAGTTCCTGTAGAAACTACCGGAAGGTCATCTCCAGACAACTGCATCACGGTCAACGAAAACGACGATATGCCAGCGCAGTCGCGTCCAGTAGAATCCCACTTCGATAGTCAATAATTTACTGGATGTGTTCTTATTAAATTTTGTTGTTGTTGATATTCGTAGCATGCCCGTTTTCGCGTCTAAGAAATCTTTTTATCAGTTAGTAATTCCTGGAATATTTTACGCTCAAACCGTGCGAACTGCGTTATAGTTGTCTTTTATACGACTTTTTTCAGCATTTTATGGAAACAAAATCAATATGACGCCTGCAAAGTACATAGTACCGTACATTTCTATGTTTGTTTTGAATTTCTCGAATCAAGACAAGAAGTATAAGACTGCGACAAAGAAAAATCAAATTAAAAAAACCAGACATGACCCAATTATTATTCATCCAACATAACCGCACCCATTAATTTTCATAACGAACCATCCGGCGCTTCGAGCGCCCCGTGCATCCCTCGCCGACGCGACTTCCACCGCGCTCTATACTCCGCAATCCAACCCTTCATCACCTCGATCTCTTTCTCCCGCGCTTTAATCACCGAATCAGGATCATCAGGATGTGACGCCCTCAAATCGAGATGATGCGCCGCATCCTGGATGACAATCACCGTCAACGCCGGGTTACTACTTTTCAGCACACCGCCACCGGACCACGGATCCAAGTTGCCATTGGAGAATATGATATTGCTGTACGCTTGCAAATTGTCCCCGCCGTACTCCCGGATCGCCAGGCGCGTGTCGGGACGGACGTTAAAGGTTTTCTGGCAGCTATCGGAGTATTCCGTTAGGTTCCAGGGACGGTAGTAGAACATGTCTTTTTTGCCGTCGCTGCAGTCGGGGATCACCATCTCTGAACAGGCCTGGTAGTCCCACTGAATGTCCCCTAAAAACGGTGATCTTTAGCATTTTATCGGCTTATGTAGGTATATTAAAAACTACATTTTCGGATCCAATCTGATGAAAACTTCATTTTCCAGCTCCACGGTTAGTTATTTACGCCATATAGAGAAGCTCTTAAAACATAATATATGTATTTAGGTTATACTTTAACAAAGAAATACAATTTTACGTTTTCTAATTCCTTTTTCTAAGTTTTTAAGATGATTTGACTGTACAGTTTGTTCGTACAACTTCAAAATACCTAATTATGCTAACAAACAGACTACGAAAAAACGGAGAAAAAACTACGAAAATTTAAGAAAACGAGAAACCTAAGAAACCTAAAAACCCACTACTAAAAAAAGCTAAGAAGCTCAAGAAATCTAAGAACCTAAAAAACCGCAGAAAAAAGTAAAAAACCTGAGAAAATTTTGTATAAGGTTCACAGAGAACGAAATTTAAGAAACAGCCTAAGGAAAACCAAGATAACCTAACATAATCTTAAAAACCTAGGAAGCCTAACAAACAGCCTAAGAAAAACTAAGAAAACCTAAATCAACCTCAAACATACGAAACCCAGGAAAACCTCAAGACAATTGAAGAGCGCTTCGATTCGCTTGCTAATAACATACCTAGCGCAGTTCCACTGGACGAATCACTGATATTAAAACACCCCGTCGCTTGCCCACTGTAATTATAGTACACCGACACCGCCTTGAACACGGCCTGCATCACCGCCTTATCCGTCCGCAGCTGCTGCGGATCACTCAGAAACTGACACGCCGCCTTCACCGGCCACCCGGGCATCGGTTTGAGAAAGTTCGTGGGATAGGGATAGTCCGTCATGGCCATGTACGTCCACCCGGCAAACAGCCACGCCCGGAAATCCGCTAGAGTGCTGTTCTTCTCGTCCAGCACTCCACAGAGGTTAAAGGTATCCCGCAGCCAATCGCGGTTGTCCTTGGACCGCCAGAAATTCTGGATGATACTCCAGGACTTGCGGATGAGGTCGGGACAGGATGGGGCGGCCAGTTTGTAGTCGCGGGTGGCGATCTGGGCGAAGGTGTTGCAGGGCACCATGTCGTCGAACTGCAGGATGGGGGCGGAGCTGGCCAGGGCGCCAATCACCGTCGCCGGGTATTTCATGCCTAAAATTAAGAACATTTGCAGTTTAAATTATTTTGTTCAAATGTCTTGAAGTGTTTTTAATTAGCTCCTACTGAAGCAACTGAATATGTATAAGTAATGTAACATGCTCATAAAATATTAAACTAACTGTTATTGCTAAATAAAATTAAAATTAAATTTTACACGGTAAATATAAATACAACAATACTTGTTAAAACAAATTTCCATGAAAACCTTTTTCTGCAGCATGTTATAAAATAAATTATTTAGTTCAGTAATAAATCTAGGATCAAATAAATTTGGATCCCTTAAAAATAAACTGTAAAAAAAATAAATATAAATTTTTCTGTGAACTAGAAAAAATCCAGAGAGAAATTGTTGTATGTACATACGGAACCAGGCGGCCAGCATGCCGCCGTAGCTGCCACCCGTATCCATCCGTAATATCGTCGAGTGATGCGCATCACGCGATGATATTGCGGATGAATACGGGACCTTCTGGGTATACTAGAAAAAATCCGGAGAAAAATTGTTGTACATACGGAACCAGGCGGCCAGCATGCCGCCATAACTGCCACCGAAGGCGATAACCGGTGATCGTGCAGCGCCGGGAATTTTGTGCTTGAGATGATCGATCAAATCGTTGTAATCAGCCAGTGCCTGCATGGATGTTAGATAAGCCAGCGTCGTCCCGTTCAGCGTCCCGTCGAAAGGCAGCGATTTGCCGTAGTAGCGGTGTTCGGCGAAGATGACCATGGACTCCAGCTGGGGCGCCAGCTCGAACATGAAGCCGGTATTGTTGACGAACATCATGATGTCACCTATGCGCCACGTTATACGTAATGCATTCATAAATTAAATTCGTCAAAAAATGGAAAATTCAGCACGCGTAATATGATGATTGTTTTTGTGTGAAAAACAGCATAGTTTATAAAGCGTTGTTCTGGTTTCGATAAACTGACCTTCATTGCCGGTATAGAAGAGGATCGGGCCGCCTTTCGTCCAGCTTTCCTTGCAGATGACATAACGCTGCTGGAATGTGGCATTCGTGGAGAAACTATCAACAGCCAACCCTTGTAAATAACCGGCTTAACAAATTTACGCTTTTTCTCGTAAAAACTGGTTCGTACTGCACGCTTTTGCAATTCCGGCAACAGTGAATATTATTTAAAAATGTAAAAGCGTTTCGTCGGACCGTCAAATTAATGAACCAACTAATCAAAAATTTAAATAGCCAAATCGAAGCACCCACTAACTGATCACAGAAAAAACCGTTTTTTTACGTTCTTTTAATCTTCAAACAAAAACCAGGGATTTTACGGATCGTGTGCCGTACAGACTTTTATGGGCAAACGCTTCAAAGCGTATACTAGTACGAACACAGAATAAATTTTTTACGCTTTAAGCGACAATATGAAGCGGATAGGGAATTTTTCCGTACACATGTATAATTATGGCACACGTAAATCCTACCTGAAATGATCCAGCGTCTGCGTGTAGTAGCGCGTCTTACAGTAGACATTCTTCCGGCGATGTCCGTAGGCATTCACACTCCCGCACAGGACAATCACCAGCATAAGCACAACCTGGGATATCTGTGATAAGGCCGACATGGTGCCACTTCCAAGCGCTGCACATGAACCTGACGGCGCTGCATGGGAAGAATACCAACGCTTTTCGATGTTTCACATACTGCGCTGATTATCGAGTGTACCGACTGTGCATTCCGCGGTGTGTGATGACCTCGGTGGGTGCCCGATAAAACGGCGCTATCGGGTCATCTGTGTGTACGACACTGCCGATAAATACATGCATAATAATAATTATGGGAACGGAAGCCTTTTGCGTGCTGGAACGCCGTTTACACCGTAACGGACATAATACACTTCATTATATTATCAGTTGTTTGTCTAACGCCAGATAAAATGGATTACATAACGATGTGGATCAGGCAGAATTCGGGAGAGTAATCTCTCAAACCGTGACCAACGCTCGCGTTAACCTTCCAGTGAACCGTGAGCGTCTGGACGCAAATTTAGACAAGACATCCAAAAATTCTCTTGATATACATGTACACAGACACACATGCCGGTGGGCCGGTGGCCATTAAATTTTTGTTTTTATCAGTGCACCGTTTAGTAGTACAGTAAACGCTATCGGTACATTGGATCACGTTAGATTAAGCGATCATCAACTGCTTCGTTAATCGATCAAGGCCATGGTAGTGCGTCCGTTTTACGCGTGGTAGTTTGTACTCGTAGTAGTCAGTAAGCTTCCTGGATATAATAATATTTAATTAACGCAATACTTAAATAAATAATTATTGCTTATTTAAATGCACTATGGTACTGTTTGCGACAATATGCCATGTTGCAGCGTTGCGGCGTTAAGCAGTGTGTGCAAATACTGCTAAACACGGCAGGTTGCCTAACAACGCTACGTAGATGTATTTCTTGAAGTTCGCCAAAGAAATTATTTAGTGCTGCAAATTACTCCTATCTAGAGCCCCCAAACAGTATACTGTACTGCCGTATACGGCATACTGTACGGCACAACAGTACGTAACCGTAGTGAAAATTGGTACTGTAACGGAAGTGCCGTACGTAACCGTAAGCCAAAAACACGGTTTCACAATGGGCTTGCCGTATACGGTACTGCCGTATACGGTATACCGTACGGTCAATCCCGTTATTTCTGCCGTAACCGTACCGTAGCCGTAGGTGCCGTAAGCGAAAACCGTACGTAGCCGTACAAAAATTTGTTACTGTTTGGGGGCTCTACTCCTATCACATCCAAGTACGGCGCTCACTCGTACATATGATAGCAATGATATTGTAGTGTAGTGGCGTACTATCCTCATCCTCACCTGGTATCGTTGTACTACCAATAGTTGAAAACTGGAGCACATAATTACTATAGAAACTCTTTTAAGGTTTCTTTTTCCTTTGAACACATGATATATAAATTTTCTTTTGCCGAAAAGTACCACACAGTTTTTCACGACATTGAGAGCATAATTTTTACGGTAAGGTAGCCGAGGCCTTAATTAGGATTTTACCCATGATTTGTGGTTATTTTCGCTTGTTGAACCAAACCTTCAGAAACGTACATAAAGTTCATATTTTATGGTATGCTGTCATTAACTTTGTGAAAAGTCTAAAACCGTCTTGTTGTGTTAATTGTAGCGCGTGTGCTATGTAAATCGGGTTTTTGCATAATTTTAATACTGGCAGTCTTTCGTACGGTGAATGACGCAATACACGCAGCGGGAATATTAATCGTTACTTTATATAAAACTGTTGACTGTTGCATTTCCGCCCTGTAATCCCCGCATCAATATGCTGACCGTGCCATTTCCACACCGATCAACCCGCCATCAATAGTCACCACCCTGCACAATACGGCCCATAAATAATATTTAAAATTCTTCCTATTACAACAGCCGCTATCTGCCACTTCCGCCGGTGTGCCAACATTGGTGTACACACGTGTAGCGCCGCAACGTAACACTCTCTACTGTACACTTTACGTTGGCGCTTTATCGATTTGTACTGCCTTTAATTCCCACGTACGCTGCTTAACGGTATGTACTCGTTAAGCGGTGCGACTGCGGGCTTGCTAATCAGCCGCAGATAATCGGTTTTAATATCTTTCAAAGAAAAAACGCAAACGCGATCAACGCCGGCTGATTATATTCGCCGTGTACCGGCCATTTTCACCATCCTCCGGGCGCATTGCACAATTTCACCGCTTTTCCAAGTGCACTTATTTCGGCCGATAAATCACGCTACCGAACTCGTTAAACTTTGGGCCAAAAACAAAAATGCGGTAAAAATCTCGTACTACGGCTTTTTTTAAAGCGGCCGTCGCGGCGATGCACAGTCACCGGCATCGCATATAATTTCATCTGAATTTTTATACTGATTTTTTCTTGGAATATTTTGATTTATTTTGCCGGGATATTTTATTTATTTATTTCCCGGCTACATTATGCGTAACGGACGCGTGTCGCAGGAGCGGGTGGCTGTTACAATAAAGCCGGCGGAACCGCCGGACGGGGGCTTTGGGTGGGTGGTGGTGTTCGCCACGTTCATGCAGCATGTTATCTCGTTGGGCGTGGGCTACACGCTGGGCGTGTATTATCCCTCGCTGCAGGAGGATTTCAAATCGGACGCCTCCACCACCGCCTGGGTGGCGGCCGCCCACCTGGCTATGCTCTTCGGCAGCGGTAAGAAATCTTTCTGCGTTTTTTTTTGCTTAATTATTCGCTTCAGAAATGTTTCAGGAACTTTGTGGGATTTTTCAATATCATCATTTTTTGAATTTTTACTGTTAATTTTATTACTATGTTTTTCTGGATTAATTGGTGCCATGCATTATACAACGTACTGCAAACGGAAATGTTGACTCTATACGTTTGTCGACGATTTGCCGTTGACTGATGATCGTAGTGCAATGGACCAATTAATATCAGAAAATGAGCAAAAAATTGAGGGTTGTAAGGGAAAAGCCGCATTGAATTAATACTAAAAGACAATTTTCGTTATAAATTTCCTGTTTTTTTTTGAAAAGAAAAATTTTAGTATTTTCTACTTGGATGCAATTCAGACAGAAATCGTTGCACTTTTAACATTCGGGAATTAATCATTCTGGCAGCAGTTAATTTTCCTGAATATACAGCACGATATTGAAATTTGCTGAGAGTGGGCAACGATCGTAGTACATGGGATCAGTCTGCATTAATGAAGACTTTATACTATCGTCATAACGAAATTAGCAGCAGTAGAAAAATCCACGAGTAATACAATAATGGAATTCTCCGTGACTTACATTAAAGTTTTTTTTTTCTAAATTGAACCATTTTTTGCTTTTACATTTTACGTTGACATTTTTTAACAATTTTACTCTATCTACTGGTCACAGGAGAATTGAGAATTTTTCATACATATTTTTAATCTTTTAGTATTTTTCATTTTTTTTCCAATGATTCTCACTATTTTTCCCAGATACCTGTATCTGTCTAGGCTTAAAACAAGAAAAGAAGATAACGGTAAATGGATAATTGATTGACTGCTTAGTAATTGCGGTGCATGTATCTGATGAACAGGCCCGCTGGCGGGTTGGCTGGTGACCAAGATCGGCACGGCGGCGGTGTCCTTCCTGGGCAGCATCATCTGCGGCGTGGGCTGTATTATTGCCGCCTACGCGCCCTCCATCCTCGTCGTTATCCTGGGCATCGGCGCCTTTTCCGGTAAATATCCCGCTTTTCTCTTACGTATTTATTTTGAGCTATTTGTTCGTTATTTATTTATCGAAGTTTTTATTTCTTTTGCATACATGCGATCAAACCTTCTTGATGTTTGAATTACTGTATTTTGAGTCCACCCGTTTTAATCCAACGGCTGCATATACCGGTATATGTATTTTGTGCATGTACCAAAATTACATATTGACGTAAATTTTAGTACTTTATTAGCCCTCGGTATTTTACGCGCGAATAATTTTTACCGCTTAGCACGTAATTTTAAGCCATTTTATCTGTTTCCTTTAATTTAAAATTTAGTTTTTCATCAGTGTCCTATTAAAACTTATCTCAAAATGGATTACGTGATAATTAGTATTTTTATACAAACATGTATACGAGATTAATTAACAAATATTATCAGTCTTTTTTAACGCATGATATATATTTTTTCATTATTTAAATTCATCATATTTTGATTAGTGCCCATATCAGCCATGGCATTCTCGTATACATTACATTTACTTCTATTGATCTATTTGTGCAGGTATCGGCACCGGCTTGATGTTCCTGTCGGCGGTGACGGCCGTCACCCGCTGGTTCTCCAAGAAACGCGCCCTGGCCACCGGGCTGGCGGTGTGCGGCGCCGGCTTCGGCGTCTTCGCCTTCTCGCCGCTCGTCCGCTTACTGATCGTCCACTATGAACGACCGGGCGCGATGCTGATCGAGGGCGGACTGGCGTTCAACGGGTGTATTTTCGCTTTATTGCTGCGACCGGTACCCACTCGGAGAAAGGTCACCATTAAGCGGAGGACGGTGGAGCATCTTCCGCTGAAAGTCTACGTTGGTCCACATAAGAATGTTAATGCCGACGGGTCACCGTACAGTCCGGAATCGTCCAACGGTAAAGGCCGGCATTGAATTATTTGAATATTAAAAATGATATAAAAACTAATCAGCTCATTTTTTATATATTGAACTGCATTTAAACCGAAACCGATTTACTGAACAGTATTTAAACGGAAGTGATCGGTTTAACGTATGTAACAGAAATAAACCGATGACTAAGAATATGATGCGTAATCAAAAATTTTAATAAAAGTATTTTAAAAAATAATTTTGTTACAATTATAATAAAATAAAAATGGGCGTAAATCAAGGAAAACAAAAAAAACGTTAATAATTCAGAAATTATTTGATGATTACTTTTTAACACTCGAGACACTCCGAAGCAATTTCAGATTAAGAACGATTAAAAACTGGGTTAATAAAACTTTTTCAATAAATTATTTATCAGTTTGAAAATTATTTGAAAATATTTTTGAAAATTATTTTATTTATTATTTTGAAAAAATTCGATTGTGCACCAAAACTTTCTATTTTTTACGGCTATTTTTATTTTTTTACAGGCGAATTGTTATATAATTCCGACGAGACGAAGCCGCTGCGCGAAGTCCCGACCCTGACCTCCATGTCCAAAGCCCGCCGGGTGTCCATCCTCCCGGACGTCCTCACCATGCGCTCGGCGCTGTCCAACTGGATCTTCTGGATCTTCGCCGCTAACCAATTCCTGACCTTTTACTCGGCCAGCGCCCCGCTGGTCTTTTTATACAACCGCGCTGTGCGGGATCTGAACATTGACAAACTGGACGCCGCGTTCATCTTGTCCATCATGGGGATTTTCAACACCGTGGGGCGGCTGGGATTCGGAGCGTTGGGCAATGCGGTGCCGCGCAGCCGGCTGTATTTGCTCAGCGCCAACATTATGATGTACGGCGCGGCGACGGCGTTGAGTGTGCTGGGCCAGAGCTACTGGTCCGTGTGTCTGTACGCTGCGGTCTTCGGCACCGGCTATGGTAAGATAAAGGTCACTAGTGGTCTGTATAATGTCACTTTTGACTTTTCTCAAAAATTATTATTATTATATATATTCATATTTATGGGTATTATATATTTTTAAGTACTTATTTAAACGATTAAGAAAAAAATTCTTAGTAGGCTATCGTCTGTATCATTATATAATTATGTATTTACAGATAAATATTCGATACACTAATATACTGTACATCACAAATTAATTTTACACGTTTAGATAATTATGAATAACATGTTATCATGCAAATGTATGCCATGTTTGTAATCTTGTTATTTAGTTAAATGTAAATGTAGAATTATTATGTAAATGTAAATGTAGAATAAAATATTAATTTTGCAATGGTGACCTTTACCGTGCGTTGCTGCTGTTGTATAGGCTGCATGTTCGCCCTGACCACGGTGGTGCTGGTGGATTTCTTTGGGATAACGATATTCGGGCCGCTGTACGGGAATATTGGGGTGTTTCGGGGCGTGGCCTGCCTGATTGGACCGCCGCTCGGAGGTACGTCTGTTCTAACAATACTTCCACATTAACGCTTTTTTCTGTCACGCGATTTTTCCTCTCTTTCTTTTTGTTGTTAAATTTTCAGTGATTCCCATTTTTACAATATTTTTTATTTTCGGTTCTCTTATGAATTATTAGTTTTTTTTTCATAATTCGCAGGTGGCCCTAACCATTAGGTGATCTTTTCCGTATTAACAAATGTATTTTTACATTAGCTCTGAATCTGTACGACTTCATTAATCTGGTCGAAAGGAAAATATGTTCGCAAAACAATTTCTTTAAGAAAATAAATGCCGCATGACCTTTACGCATGGTACAGTCTTGTGTCTGTGATAGGTTGGTTGGTGATGGAATTCGGGAACAGCCACTCCTTCGTCTTCGTCCTCACCGGCATCCTGGGCTTTGTCGGCGGCTTCTTGCTGCTGCTGATCCCCATCGGGCGGCGGATGGGGGCCGCGCGACGCCGGAAGGTGGTAAGAGACGAGAAAGACACCTACCGCCTCGAGGAGCTGGGCCAATAATTATTTTCTTTATATTTCTTTATATAGAAAAATACAACCATGTTTTGTTCAGTATTGCTGTGATGGAAATGCTCAATGGTGAAATACATAATTATTTGTCTAGAGTCTAGACCAGACCGCGTGTTCTTCTGCCTGCTCATCCAGAATGCTCAAAATTGTTTCGAAGAAATGAATTCGAAATAAAATTATATACGTATGACTTTACGCACAACTACCGCAAATGCAAGCCTTTATTAATTTAATAAATTTTTCACGACAAACTGCAAAAAAATATATATCGAGAGCTGCAAAAAATCTGCATAAAAGTAAGAAACAACAAGTACAAAAAAGAAAATCTAATCCAACAAAGCGAAACAAGAGAAAATGTATTAATAAAAAAATGAGGCAATTAATGACATAAAGTGAGACAAAATGCGATAAATAAGGAGAGAAGAAAAATTAGAAAAAAATCAGAAAAACATAAGAGAAAAATGCGAATAAAACGAATTCATGAGTCTCCATTAATTAGGGCACTTCGTTGATGGTGGAGAGGGCGCGCGCCGGCTCACAGGGCTCCACATGCCAAATATGCTGGCAGTATTCACGGATGGTGCGGTCACTACTGAACTGGCCACTGGCGGCGATATTCAGCAGCGCCATCCGATTCCACCGCTCCCGGTCGGCGTAGGCGGCGCTGACTTCCGCCTGCGCCCGCATATAGTCCCCGAAATCCGCACACACCATGTACCTGTACAGAATTTTTTTAAAAATTTTATCGGAATTATTCTTCATGAATCATTGTGCCTCTATGCATTACAGCTAATTTCTAAATATATGTGTATATTTAATAATTTCTAAATATATCTGTATATACCTGTACAGAATTTTGAAAAAATATTTTCTGCATTATTCTTCATGGATTTCTGTGCTTTATCTGTATATACGTTTACACTTTACAGTCAATTTGTGAAATTTTCATTTATTGTACACAGTTAGTTTTTATTTACTCGTTAATTTAAGAAACATCAGTTAAATCTGAAAAAAATGACATCGTTGTTATATGACGGCGCATGTACCTGTCCCATCGCAGCAGATGATCGACGAATCCCTTGAATAAATTCGGGTTGTTCGGCGAGAAAACCCCGTCCTTAATCATATCCAGACATTCTCGAAGTTCCTCATTCTTCATGTAATAATCCATAGGATTATACCTACAGCGCAACAAGTATAAAGTAACTGTGTCTGTACATACCCTATAATAATTTCGAAAATCTATTGCAAATAAATTAAATAAAATTCAGAAATTAAATTAAATGTAAAAGTAGCAGTTACTTAATAAATTCAGAAATGTACTCATAAAAAATAGAAATAATTGCATAATTTCTCAAAAAAGCATACAAAAGTTGTCGAACAAATGCGGAATAAATTCATCGGTTATTTACTGTAATTAATAAATTACATCCATTAACTGTCGCAACGACACTAAGTAAATTAACAAAACTATAATATTACGTATACAATTCAAATTAATAAAAAAAATAAAAACAAGAAGAAAATTAAATAAAATCGACGGGAATCATCTTATTGACCGCTTCTCACCCGGCGGTGGCCAGTTGCTCCACCTCCTGCACATCCATCCCAAACAGGAAGAAATTCTCCTTCCCAACCGCCTCCCGCATCTCCACATTAGCCCCGTCCAGCGTCCCGATAGTCAACGCCCCGTTCATCATAAACTTCATATTCCCGGTGCCGGAGGCCTCCGTCCCGGCCAACGAGATCTGCTGACTGAGATCCGCGGCCGGGATGACCTTTTCCGCCAGGGTCACCCGGTAGTTCTCCAGATAAATCAGCTTCAGCCGGTCGCCCACGGTCGGATCGTGGTTGACGACGCCGGCGACGGCGTTGATCAGCTGGATGGTCTGTTTAGCCACGGCGTAGCCCGGCGCCGCCTTCCCGCCGATCATGACGACGCGGGGGACCATCTCCGCCGCCGGGTGGCGTTTGATGCGGCGGTATAACGCGATGACGTGCAGGCAGTTTAATAACTGGCGTTTATACTCGTGGATGCGCTTCACCTAGCAAAATTATTATTTCTATCCTTATTTTTCTGTTATTTTTATTGTATTTATATTGTTTTTATTCTTATTATTTTCACTTTATCTATTGGAGTATTATTTTTTTATTTTTCAAATTATTTTTAATCAAAAGCCAAACAATCAGCCCTGTCAAAAATCGAGATTTAAAAAAATACCCTTAGAGCTGCTTTTCATTTTATTCTACCGTGCTGTGTACAGCGCACATTTACCATAAAAATTCTTTTAAAAAATTAACCTGTCTACCAATTATTTCATCAAAAAATTTATCAAAAATTTTATCAAATTTCCGATGACAATTAACCGATGAAACCCGACCGACGATTTTAACCGATGAAAATTCTAACCGAAGCTGGTCATATATATGTATCTGACTGTATCTATAGTTTTCGGCGCATTTTTTATATGGAGCTGCAAGCTGCTTGATTGTAAACGGCACGCAGCGCCGGATGACGACGATAGCTGACGTCGGCAGATAGGCACCAACTCGGCACTCTGTGCCTGGCCGAAAAAATGTTAACCACGGCGACGCTAGTTGGCCGAGTGTACTTACAGCAGTTCCATACAAACCCCTCACCTCTTCTCTACTTCACAAAGCTCCAAAAAACACCTTGGGTCGGGGCTCCATCCCCGCTCAACGGACCAGTACGCAGACCGGCCAACTTTTTCTGGCCGGATTTTCTGCGGATCGCGTCCGATTGTTTTAATATGAGTTTACTAGGTATGTAGTGGAATTCTAACCAGTTTCATTTCAATTATTAATCAACAATTTATTTTTCTCATTTTAAAAAAAAACTGCTCAAAAATAAAAAAAAACAATTATTCAGATAATTACTTAACTTTTAAATTACTGCATTAATTATTAATCAAATATTTTTCTCATTTCACATGCGGCAAATTAGTAGAAATTTTAAAGAATAATCACTCATTTATTAATTCAAAGATAAATTGGTTCGGCGATGTGTCAATAAAATTTGGATACGTTCCGGAAACTGTTCTTACTTGCACATCGAACATGGCCTCGGGATTGACGTCCAGGTGGTGGTGTTCCTTAATATAACGCGCAAACTCCCGTTTATTCTGCAGTTTGACGTTGGCCAACTCCGTTAAGACGTCCTTGTCACCGGCTAAAGCCGCTAGTTTGCGCAGGGCCTCCAGATGGCGGATCCAGTCGTCCAGCGGACCGATTTTCTCACAGATAAAACCCGTGAGAAGCGGATTACAGTTGACCAGCCAGCGGCGCGGCGTGATGCCGTTGGTCTTATTCTGGAATTTCTCCGGCCACAACGCGTAAAAATCTTTAAAAATCACCTAGCAAATAAAAAAATTAAATAAAAAATTAATCAAAATATTCTATTAAGTTATATTAAAATGTTAATTACGTTACCTTCAAAATACAAAATTAAATTAAATTAATTAAAAAAATCAATCAAATTCATTCAAATAAAAATATTATTTTTATCTATTATTATACAGAAAAATGGGCTATGTATTATATTATTTATCAATCAAATAATTAAATCAGCAGCGTTACTGCCCATTATCTGAATGCGAATTTTCTCGCCAGTTTTCTCAATTACAGTAATTCAGACCAGAAAGATGTCCAATTAATTCCAAGTTATTTTTTGTTATTTGAATAAATCTGGTAGAAATATGATAAATATTATTTTCGAATTATTTTACATTTAATGTACCAAAAATTGTATGTTTTACTCGTTTGAGGATGTCGCTGTGGATCTGCGCGACGCCGTTGACGGTGTGCGAGCCGACAATGGCCAGATGCGCCATGTTGACGCGTTTCCGCGGGTTAAACACATCCGCCTCCTCGATGATGGACATGCTGCGCAGTTGACTGCCGTCCGGCCATTTTTTATTCACTTTCTCGTACAGGAACCACCAGTTAATTTCGTAGATAATTTCCAGATGCCGTGGTAATAATTTCTCCAGCATTTCCACCTAAAGAAAACAAATTTGTAAATTTTTTTGCGGATGAGATTCTCGAAAAGAATTTGTTGCATGTAATACGAAATTAGCTAAACAAATAGCACTATCAAATTAATCAAATAACTTAACTTAATCGCAGTTTCCAAGGGAAAAAAACCGTTTTTAATTACTGAGCAAAAATATCTCTATGAAAATCAAAACATAAATAACACTGAGAATTTTTTATATAATTAGATTTTTCAATTTATTGTTTTTTCAAATTATATGTTTAATTTTGTATAAATATTTTTATTTTATATCTAATTAATATTTAATAATGATTACCACCATTAATTTGAAAATAACGGCACAAAATTTACAAAAATTGCTAGAATTCTTTTGCACTGTACAGGTTGGGTTCGATTCCCAGATGAGCAACTTTTATCTCATAAAATCAAACCAAAAAAAGTATAAATTTTCAAAATACCAAAAATAAATTCCAATAGCCTTTAAAGTCTCCCAAGTGGAGTGTGGCTACTATTGGTTCGATAATGATAATAATAATTATTATTTCGCGTACCGGCCAGCGTTCCAGCGCTTCCGGCAACACGGTGTGGTTGGTATAGGCAAAAGTGCGCGTAGAGATGCGCCACGCCTCCTCCCACGCTAGCCCCTCCCCATCCACCAGCAGCCGCATCAGTTCCGGGATGGCTAAACAGGGATGGGTGTCGTTCAGTTGGATGGCCACTTTCTCCGGGAATTCGGCGAAGGACGTCCGGGTCGGCTCGTGACAGCCATAGATGGCGTACTTGTAGCGCCGGACAATGTCCGCCAGGGACGCCGCCACCAGGAAATACTCCTGCTGCAGACGCAGCTCTTTGCCGGTGAAGAAGTTGTCGTTCGGATATAGAACACGGGAAATACTGTAACAACCCATCCACCACATATATCCACCAAATGTATTAAATACCCCGAGTAAAATAAAATGTAAGTGGCGAATTATTAAACCCTCGTAAATATACGTACATGGAAATGGGCGATTATAACTATAGTAGGCTGAATTTGAAATAAATACAAAATGAATGAAAGATATATGTAATCTATAGAATATAAAATAAGTATATAGGCTCCGAATATAAAATAAATACAAATGTTCCAGTAAAATAAATGTATTCACCAAATGTAAAGTAAATGTCAAATTTAAATGCTACTGATTATTTTTAAAATTGTTCGGCATGGCGAAAATATTGTTAAGTTTCTAAAAAAGAAAAATAACAAGATAATCTGTCGCACGAAAACGATGTACCAAAGAGCCTCAATTAAAACCAACGAAGCTAAAAACTTGTTTTTCTAGTTAATCCTGGCAGATAACTGATGCAGTCGTGCAGTATGGAGACTACCGGGTTTTATGAACTTTTATCTTTCGAATACCGTACAAGTACACCACAGTCACACAGTGTTCATTTCGTACTTGTATGGATTTACAGTCCTGAATTCTTGTTACTAATGCTTATTCACGAATTTGGCTGAATTTGTTTAATCCCAATTAAAAAATTCTACAAACAAATAAAATAAAAATACGAAAATGATTAAATCCCTTGATTAATATTAAAGCAACTGCCGTTCTACTTCTATCACAATTATTACAGTAAGTATCCGGAAGTTCTCAAGCTAAATTGACACAAGAAATGCAATAACTGCAAGGCTGTGTTGTGCTATGCTTGTAAAGTGATCGCAGAATGATGGCTTACATTGGAACTGGCTATTCTTCGTGTGTCAGTCACAGTTAGATCAAAACTGCTGTAATCCAACATATATTTTTCTAGTTTTTGCATCTTTTATTTTTTATCTCTTCCGTACAAAACAATGGTTCTTAGAATTATAATTATTCCTGTAATTACAATTGCTACCTTGTTTATTATAATTATTATAATTATAAATATTTATTATATGCTTACCGTAGCACAAACGAAGCGCTATGGAAAATACAAATGGTAATAACCAAACGCTTCATTCGACACGTTAGTTGACTGTATATGTATGTTAGTGTGAACTTCTACAAACCGGTGTTACCTTGCTGAATCAGTTCACGCACTTTTCGGCCGTATTCCGGTCCAGCACCGCGCTCATGTACTTGCCGGCGTTGAAATCCTCCAACTGGAAGGTGTTGGGCGAGCGTGCCGACCACAGACGGAGGATGTTGCAGGTCTCGTTGCGGAAGCCCGGCGTGGCCATGTCAAAGGGCACGGCGTACACCGTCTGCAGATATTGGCATTTTTACCAAATAAGATTTATTATTTCAAAATTTATCATTGGATTTTCTAGTTTTTCTCCTTTCTCGATACCCAGCACGGCTAATAAACAAGGCTAATAAACGGTAGTATATGCAGTAGCATATCGTAGTGGACTGGCTCAGACTGCCGCTTGGATCAACTGATCCATATGCAAATATTCCACTAATTAACGAAAGACTTAGTGCTAATATGCAAAATGGCTATTTTTTCGTAGTTCTTTTCCTGCAGTCGTTCAACATGCATTCTTTTATTCATAACATTATCTATTTATTACGCGTTGCACTCAAACTTTTATTATTCACCATTTTTTTCACTGATTTTCATTGCTTATGTTTTATTTCCTTCTTCTCTTATTTCTTTAATTCATTTTTCTATTTTTATTATTGCATTTTTATTGCCGGTGTTCGAATCAGCGCGCGGTTATTTACGTTTCGGAAAGGAGCGTAAATAACGTAAATAACGAGCGTATTTACGTTTCGAAAAGGAGCGTAAAATAATTCGACAAGAAAGTTTTGAAACTTCAAAAAAGGAGAATAAAATCGAGAATAGTAACATGCATATGTGATAACATACAAAACCATCTGTACAGCAGTACAATCTTGAAGATGTGCCAAGAGAAGTCAATAAAACAAAAAATGAAAAAAATAAACCCAGCAATAAAACAGAAAATCAACAAAATAGTTTTACTGCCTTTTTTGATACATTACAGAATACACTACACAGGAGACAACTACTATGTATAGACTAACGTAAGGAAATTCCAAACACGGATTAAACGCAGGAAAATGTCATAAACGGTAAGTAATAAAATGGCGAATTATTGAAATTAATTTCTTACATGCGTGTTGATCCACCGCGCCCGGCCGCCGGCCTCCCTGACAACCTGCCCGTGAAAATGCACGGTGACCTTTCTCTCCACCCGCATCTTCTCCCAGGGATCCCCAAACTCCAGCCAATCATCGCGCTCCTCCCGCTGCTCCCCGTTGACAATCGCCTGCTTGAAGATCCCGAATTCATAGCGAATTCCGTACCCCACCGCCGGGATGGACAGCGTCGCCAGGGAATCTACGACCCGAACCGGCAACCATGACCTTTAGGTTGATTAACACCGGAAGAAGGGGTCTCTCGGTACCTGCCTAAGAAACAGGCGGCCAGTCGTCCCAGTCCACCATTCCCTAACCCAGCGTCCACTTCCAGCTCTTCCAGTTCCTCCAGTTTGAGTCCCAGATCGGCCATGGCCTCCACGCAGGGATCGGTGATGCCCAGGTTGCCCATGGTGTTGCGCAGGGTCCGCCCGATCAGGTACTCCATCGACAGGTAGTACACACGCTACAAAGGTCATCTTAAAATTGTTAAAATAACGTTTTGTTGTTGAGTGCGGTAAAATTATTAAAAAACGAAAATATTAATAAAAATTATTGCAATTATGATTAATTATATTAAAATAATCATTCGGACTTATCTGTAGGTTCAAGATGGAATTCACCATCTAAATACCCGATACATATTTATGTACCGTATTTCGGTACGCACACAAAGTAATAATGGATAAAAGAAACAGATTTATATTGATAATTCATCAGCTAATTAATTCAATCATCTAATACTCTGTTATGAAAAACTGTAGACAGAAATTAATTGCTGGGCAGTGTATAAATTTTCAGGGGGCCGCGACATGATTATGCCATAACGAACGGATCGTAGTGTTATGGCTTTTGGCCGATGTAAAGTCGCTGTCTGGTTTTACGTTCACATGATAATATCGTACAACTTTTCGTACATGATGTACATTATGTAATGCGCCAGTCTTTTTCTCCCGCTTTGGCGATTAGTTTTTGTACAAAATCATTATTAAAATGCTCCTGTCCAATGCTGTTATATAAATATACTCTTTAACTGCACGTGTAATTTGTCTTACTATTTTTAGCCAAATTTTAAAAAAATTTCTGTTGTAATTAAATTTATAATATTTGTACGAAATAACAGCTTGAGACTAGCGAAGGCACATTACATACTAACGACACGTAACGTAGTGTAATGGCTTAAATAGCGTTTTCTGCCATCTCTATTCTCGCGCTTAGCATACGGCAAACGCCAGTACAGGTTGTGCAAGTCCATTTGCCGAAATATTCTCTTTTTTTGCAAAGTTTTTCGCTTTTCCTATGTTACAATTAATTTTTCGATACGGCCGTCCAGTGCTTTCATAAACTCTTTCCTCGTAAGTGCAGTTTATTTTAGTTGATATTACAACCATCAGATATATGTGCAAATAAATTAGTCAGCTCGTTAAATATACTGTTATTAATTTGACGCCGCTTTTCTATTTGTGCACATTGATTTATTTACCTGTATTACCAAAATTGTTTTTAAATTTTAGCTGATACTACGAGTATAAGTACGTATCAAGTATCACGTACTGGCTTAGACAGATTCCTTCATGTTACATGACGATTAAATGTAAAAATTTTTTGCAAACTGAGTGATTTATTTGTATTATTTCTTCATGTCAAAATTTATTTTTAATTTGAGCTATTTTCTGAGCAGATTTTCCCCTGTTCTACGGTACTCGTACGTAAGGTCCAGTGAGGATAAAGCGCGTACTTTGGGATCCTGATTGTAGTAGTGCTGCTGCGTGCGGATCCATTTCTTCATGAGATGGTCCTGCGTGGTGCGGGCCAGCACCTGCAGGTAGTCGTGCTGGTCGGCGGTGAAGCGGTCCTTCCCCACGGTGAAGTGCAGGTGCTCGTTGAAGCGCTGCTTCACCGCCGCCACCGTCGTCGACGTGTTCACATCGCGGACGCTGAGGAAACGCCCCCGGTCCAGCGAGGGCTGCAGCATTCTTCCCCGTTAAAAATACAGAGTATTCAGAATTTCCTTGACTTCCTCCGCTCAGAAAAAAAATATCTTCGTACCGAAAAATTATTTTTAAAAATCAAAACTTAAAAAATATTAACTATTTATTTTATTTACTAATTTTTTAGTCAATTTAATGGCAGTTATTATACCAAATTCAACGGTTTTCTTCTACGAACGTTTGTTGCTAGGGAATTTCGCAACACACCGTGTATTTATTTTCATTATGGGACTGTTCAAAAACAAGATAAGTAAACTCGTATATTGACTGTACAGAAAAAATTAAGCACTGTACTTCCTTATTGAGTACCACAACTTAAAAAAACAAGCGATGAAAAAATAGTAGTTATCGGTGCATTTCATTCGTTTACTTAATGCCAACATATCAAGAAATTCCAGAAAAATTCCAATAAAAATTCCGGAAATTATAAAAAAGTAGAAAGATTCATTTCTCCATGGCAGCCACCATGGAGAGGACGGGATTCTTATCCCAGCCGGCCTCCACTTCTTCCTCCGTGTACTGCGCGCCCATCACATACCGCCGCTCCGCTTCCGGATAGTTCACCCCGTCAATCATCTGCCCGGAAACATCTTTCCTTGTTATCACTTTTCAGATTTATTTATTGAATTTTGTTTCTAATAAATATTACTAGTTTTTATTTATTTATGAGCCTTGTGTTTTTTAGATAATACACATCACACAATTACCGGATTTAAAATGAATTTGATTAATTCGTGGCAATAACGGCAGTGAATACTGAAATTATGATGTAAGAAGTATGAAAAAGTGAACATACCACAATCAGACAAAGTCCATGTCACTGAATAGCAAATACCTTGTAGTGTAGTGGCTACGCGCCATATTAGCGCGTAGCAACCCGCATGACTGTGTTGACCTGTAGAGGACGCATTTTATGTGGTACTACGAGTATTTCCATTATTATCATTATTACTCAGTATCTATCCGGCCAGAGTGGCACAATAAACATCTGTGCCAAGACGTGACAATTGGCGTGAAGTGTAGTATTCTCTGAACTCTGAAGCGGGAAAGGAGAAGAGGAAAGCGAGCGCTATATAATAAGAGATCGAAAATGACGACCACAACCGATCAATTGACCAAGTTCAATCCGGAAACCATGGACTGGAAGGCGTGGAAGTTTTTGTATGATAATTATACTGTGCTGACCGACCTTCATACGGACAAGCACCGTGCCTTGCTAATAAACAGTCTGGACACGAAGGCCCTGCAGCTTTTAGTTTCGATGTGCAAACCCAAGATGCCGTCCGACTTCACACTGGGTGAACTGGTCACGAAGCTGGAAACGGCCTACGCCCCGTACACAAACCAAATAACCGAGTGGGCGCTGTTCTTCAGTCTTCGGCAGGACGAAAAAGAAAGCCTGGTGGACTTCGCGACACGTTTACGTGACAAAACGATCCTATGCGACTTTCCGGCAACAGTGCTGGAGAAGAATTTAAGTGCTGTGCTCGTGGCAGGCGTCAAAAGCGACGCAACAAGACGCTACCTAATGCTGCAAGAGCTGAAGACGTTCGACGCCGCCCTCCAAATTGCTATCAAATATGAAACAAGCGTGAAAGAGGCGAGAAAAACTAATGTGGAAGAGAATGTGGTGAACAACATTAAGAAGCGAGAAATAAGAGTGAAGAAAGAGGAGAAGAGCAGTAGAGAAAAGAGACAGGAAGAGAATGATGACGAAAGTGGAAGTGAAGAAGAGATGCCGTCCCGGCGGAAATGTAAAAGATGTGGATCCTGGCGGCATACGCCAGAAGAATGCTGGTATAAAAACACCAGATGCAATGGTTGCGGCATGAAAGGCCATATAGAGAGGGCATGCCAGCAGAAGGACAACAAGAAGAAGGAAAAGGTCAATACCGTCTACAATGTCGAGGAAGATTATTTCGACATTTTGCCATAATGTTCTGCTTTTTCACTTCATTTTAAGGGTGAAGATGTAGTGTAGTGGCTACGCGCCATATTAGCGCGTAGCAACCCGCATGACTGTGTTGACCTGTAGAGGACGCATTTTATGTGGTACTACGAGTATTTCCATTATTATCATTATTACTCAGTATCTATCCGGCCAGAGTGGCACAATAAACATCTGTGCCAAGACGTGACATACCTAATTAAAAATTACGTTTCGATTAAGAAATGGCGAAAAGTAACGAGTATACCCGAAAAACGTTTAACTGATCGACAGAATCGTAGTGCTATGGCTCGAACGTTTTCAAACGCTCAAGGTCAGTTATCACTTCCCTATGGCATACTTCTCTATGGCATCAGACATCTTAAATTAAATTTGAAGTTAATTGTAAGTTTTTTTAAATTACTTCCCAATGCTGCTTTTACTTCCTCTTTACGCTTCCTGCACTTTAGCGCTTAATTTTACGATGATGTCATCCTCCCGCCCGATCCGCCGCATAATTCGTCAATTTTTTTTAAAATAAGCAAAAGCCAGAACTGACGTAATTAAGTAAAAATTTAGTTAATTAACAGAAAATCTCCAGTTATTTGCATTAATTTACATTAATTCGTTTCTAAATATGTTATGATTTTTTACAACTTTTTTTCCTATAAGACAAACCCGTGAATTAAATAACCAAATTAATCTACAACTAATTTAATCCCTAACAAACATTATTTCCAATTTAATCTCTAACAAATATTAATACGAGTACAGTTTAATCCCTAAAAAATGCTGATTATAATTTAGGTAACCCTCAAAAAATATGAAGTAATGTCGCATCCCCTGTCTTACCATGATCGCACAGATCACCGCCTCCGGCAGCCAGACATCATAGCAATCCCGCATAAACTGCACATTATCACTACACTCTTTCCGTCTAATCTACTTTATTTTTTTACAAACATGAAAACGCCAGAACTGACATATTTAAGCAAAAATCAGGTTGATTCCCAGCAGAATCACAGTTATCTTCAATTTATATTGTTTTACATTAATTCGTTCATAAAACAACGCTACATTTTTTTATTATTTTTTCTATAAGAAAAACACGGGAATTAACCAAATTAATCGTAAATTAATCCCTAAAAATATTATTTACAATTTAATCTCTACAAAATATTAATTACAGTTTAATCCCTAAAAAAACTATAATTAATTTCCTAAAAAAATCAGTTTATGTCGCATCCATCACTGTCTCACCATGATCGCATAGATGACCGCCTCCGGCAGCCAGACATCATAGCAATCGCGCATAAACTGCACATTATCATCGTCCTCCTTCCTCCGGATCCTTCTCATCAGTCTATACAACTCAAACACCTGCCCATCCTCCACGATGGGTCCGGAGGGACAGCGGATCTCCTGATGCACCAACTGCCACATCTCCCGCATCACCCAGGCCCGCGTCCGCTTCGTGTGCCGGCGATCGGTGCGCGGGGCATCGCGCAGCGTCGTCAGATAGCGCTGGCACCCGGGGCTGCGGATGGCGTCTAATAGACGCGCGGCATACACGTTGCGCTGCTGCACCACGGCGGCATTCTCCTCCGAGTAGTCGATTTTGGTGGGGTCGCGTTGGAGGGCAATCTGGATGAAGTCGAAGCCGTACCATTCCGTCGGCTCGGTGACCGGGGGGTCCGTGGGGTCGGCGTAGGGGCGCGGCCGAGGGGGACGGGGCTGGGCGGTGTCGCGCCAGAAAGACACGTCCTCCAGGGTGGACAGGAAGGGTTTGAAGGGGTCCAGGTTGGGTAAGGGGTTGGGCGGGATAATCTGCATTTATTAACAATAAAGAACATCAAATTTATTTGTCGATAATAAATTTTTGTTAATTAAATAGTCAATCAAATAAATATTCAATTATCTGATTTATTATTGCTCACTCGTGATTATTTAATTTATTATTCCATCATGATGTACATTAATTACTTGCTATTTATTATTATTAATACTTCTTCTAATTAATTGACTGATTAATAGGCTAAATATTTTCCTAACTGATTTAATATTTATTATCCAAATCGCAGTCAGTCGACTGCCAGAGATTACCGTCGCTCAGCTGCATTAAACGCTAATTTAGTACGAAGCAAGCGACAACCTGGAAATATTCCAGTTGTACAATTCAGCGGTTAACGTAGTACAAAGGCTAACTAGAAAGTCCAGGGATACGTACGAAAACACAGTTATCGACTTACTCACGGTCAGCTTTCGCAAGAGAAAGAACACGAAGTGACCAATTTTCACAACTATAAAAATTTTTTTAAAACGAAAAAGCGTTTAAAATGGATTTTCCGATATTTTTGTGTTTGATCGGATGTTCCGTAAAGGTATTTGTTACGAAAATATTACGGCATCGGATGAAAAGAAGGCCAGATTCTCCTTATCGATGAAACTCCAGGAAATAAAGAAACAAACTCCAAAGGAGTTTTCTTGTAGATAAAATTCGGGAATTACAAGGAACTAAAACATCATCTTTCGGAAAGAATTTTTAAAAAAATCAATAAAAAATCATCCTCATTGTTGTTATCAATAAAATTCAAGGAATTACAGCATTTCTCTCGACATACATGCATGGAGCACATCTTGCACCACACGATCTCCGCCAGATAGTACAGCGCCCCGAGCAGCTCAAAATTCAGCGTTCCGTCGCGCACCAACTTATCGCGGTTCATCTCGTACACCACGGCCTGCAACACAGGAAGAAAACAAACTTTCACTGCCGTATTTTGCGGGTGTATCTAAAATTTAATTTACTATCTGTACAGTAAATTTATTTTTTAAATTATCTGTTTTTTATATTTACCTTTTAATTTGTAAATTTACTGATACATGGATGTTGTTAGTGTAGTCCATTAATTCATTATTTTGTCAAAATTAATGATCGTCGTCATCGCCCGTACCATCCGCTCGGAGACCTCGAACATGGTGTTGTCCATGTAGGAATCCTCCGCGGTCATCCAGGAGCGTTTGGAGCGCTGTATCTCCCCCTCGGAGCGGGCCAGATGCATGGGCGTCAGCTGGTGAACGGCCCCCAGGACGTACTTGAGTCCGCTCTTCACGTACTGCAGATAGTGATCGTACACCGGCTCCACGAACATCACCACCACGTGGCTGCTGGCGTTGAGGGTCCGCTGCCGTTTCTTACGCTTGATGCTCTTTATCACCGCTGGCCACCTATTCAATTTGAAAATGTAAGTATACAATCAATACGGGGTTTCAAAGGCTTTTTTAAAAATCTTTTTAATTTTATTTTTTTAAAAATCATCATACTGATTTGCCTCGAGCCTGTTTATTTTGTTTCATCATCTGGCAAACGCATATGTATATTATTTAACTTACGATCCCGTACGTGCCCGTAAATTGTGATATACTATCATGCCTCACTTTATTAAAAAATTACTGTATCCGCTCGCACATCTTGAACCACAGAGTTTGTGTACGGGAAAAACACGCATTCAATATACACACTCTAACCGGGCAAAATGCACGACTACGAAATATTGCTCATTTGGTTTCAAGATGAACAGTTCTTCTTGTGAATTTGTCCAATAAACCAAGAATTTTCATTTAAATGGCAGTTCACTCTGGAAAAAGGTTCCGCAGCTGAAAGCTCGAATTGTTCTGTGGTTCATCGCCATCAAGAATGTTGACGCTGAACGTACCCATCCCCTTCCAGGGGTACCCCAAAAACCACAACAAATCAGTCTGTAACTCGTGCTTACGGCAAAGCTGTATGTTAATGGCTGCTATCGAGCATAAACAAGTTTAAAATTGTTAGAGCTCCAATTTTTTTTTATATTCAAGAAGTTCTCCAGACCAGATGTTGCAAAGACATCAGAAATTTATCAAATCGCGAATCGCGCGTTTGGCCCGGTTAGAGTGTGTATATTGAATGCGCGTTTTTCCCGTACACACACTCTGTGGTTCAAGATGTGCGAGCGGATACAGTATTAAAAAATCATCAGAACCATTATTTATGAAAGTCGTCCATTATTTTGTCGTTTAAAGAACACATATCAAATTATCTATTTAATTTATCGGTCCTGCGATAGAATACTGTACTTTTCACTCTATTAAAACCAATTAAAATAATAACTGATCTTTAATAGAGCCAGATTTTTAATCAGCGTGAGCCATACCATTCTATTACGGGCTTTTTAAAAAAAATCAATATTCGTATGCGCAATTTTTATTAATTCGCCATCTATTGCTGAGTATGGGACAGAAAGCGTACCAATCGAAGCGTTTGTGCTTGGCCCAGACCAGCTGGCCCACCTTCACCCAGCTGAAGCGATGCGGATCGAGATCCCGCTGGGCGGCCTCATCGAGAAACCCCGGCTGGAAGGAGGCATGGTGCTGCCAGTGCTCCAGCATCAGATCCAGCGTCTGCCCCGCCTCCACGTACGCCTCGCTCTCCAGGAACCCCAGCGTGCCCGCCCGTTCACTGGCGCTGCGGGGAAGTTTGACGGCGTTGAGGAGGACGGTCATGATGGCGTCGACGGGCTCCTGGCTGGCGTCATCCAGGCCCGCGCCGTCCCCGGAATCGTCGCTAGACTCGGTGTCGGATTCCCGCTCCACGTCGTCCGTCTGCGTCAGACGCGAGGTGGATGGGGTTAATTGGGAACGGAACATCCCCGCAGTTCCTCCGTAAGTTAGAATTCCAAGGACCAAGGGGCAACTACACGACAGTCAGTCAGTCACAATTCGACAACGCGGACAACTGCAAGAGTTCAGAACTTCAAATGCATCAAAAATCTGAATTTGCAGTTGCTACTGCAACAGTAGCAACACTCAACAGCGTAACAAATCAAAATGCGTAGGTGTTCTCAAAACCTGGCAGAGTAAATACAGCCCGGAAGTCGAAACTGTCAAAATCACTGCAATCTACAATCAGACTACCGACCAGGGTAAAATTCTTGGATCTTGAACTTGAAAGTTTCGATCAGAAACAGAAAACAGAAACTGCACTAAAAAACCTACGAGTGACTGAGTGACATGTCTGAAAAGTGAAAACGGATCGAGAGAACCGGAAGTAACAGAGTACGGTGACGAGCGATAACTGCCCCTCGCGGGCGGTTGCAACGCACGCTACCTTTGTTTGGCAGTGACTACGCAAGGGCGGCGTTGCCAAGTTAAATTAAGTCAACTTCGTCTCGTGACGCTCGCCTCCTATTTCCTCGTCTGAATTTCTAAAATCTCCAGTTGTCACTTGTGGATTTGGAATGTTTTGGCTCTTCCACTGTTTCGACTTTCCCTGGTTTATTATTCCGTCATCCTGTCCACCTGTCGTTTTTTTCATACATTGCTGATAATCTACGCTCAGAATGGTGAAGCTAACCGCCGATGTAATCCAGAGAGCGCCGCAGTGCTTCAATCCCTGCCAGGAACGCATGCTAGACTTGCGAGGAGCCAAAGTTACCGTTATCGAGAACCTGGGCGCCACTCTGGTTTGTTTACTTTATTACTTGATTTTTTTAAAAAGCGCTCGGTGAATATATTATTTATAATAAATGTTCAATTTGGCATTTCTTTTATAGGATCAGTTTGACTGTATCGACTTCTCCGACAATGATATCCGCAAAATCGACGGGTTCCCGCTGCTTTATCGTCTCAAGACGCTCCTCTGCAACAACAACCGCATATGGTAACACAGGCGATTTGGTGATGTTTTATCTGCATTGCAATTTGTTTTTCTGGGATGACAGCCATTCGAGCTTCTCCCATTTGCTCATGCGAAAGCTGAGCAGCGCGCTTACGGCTTGTAGCGACCGCACTGCGGCGCAAAACAGTAGATTCTGTACTGGCGTAGGGCTGTTTCGTAATGTTGTACAGGGATTTGGATGACATCGTTGAATTATTTTTGAAAAATTATGAATTAAATCAGTTTAAAACTTTACATGGTTTAAAAATCAGTTTAAATGGTTTGAAATATTGTAAATGGGCAATAATTACTTAAATCTTAGTAACTGTATAACTGAAGAATTTTTATAATCTAAAAAATAATTAATGAAATTATATCACTTTTATGAAGTCCAAAATGAATCCAGAAGTCATTTTTAGCCGTTAATTTTCTTATTTAGTAATGAATATTTTAATTTTTATTCTTTTCTGTTGCCTTGTTTGGATGATTCCTATGATAAATGTACAGTATGTTTCATTCCCAGTTTACAATTTTAAAGTTTTTATTAGGTAATTAAATACTAAACTAATTATTTAAGAACAGTAAAAGCGAAGAAAGACGATATGTGCGAATTATGGCGAATTTATTATTGAATTATTTAATCTCTTGTGGATTGTGCTTCTAGTCGCATTGGTGAAAATTTGCAAGAATCTTTGCCGTCGCTAGAGTCGCTCATACTGACTAATAACATGATGCAGGAGTTGGGCGATCTAGATGCGCTGGCGCCGCTGAAGAAGCTGCAGTATTTGAGGTGAATGATGCGCCGATGCAGAGAGGCACTTTGAGCAATTGGGATTAATTTGTCGCACGATTTGCTTGTGACTGCAGTCTCACACGCAATCCCGTCTCCAATCATCCGCAGTACCGACTGTACGTTATTCACCGGATACCCTCGCTGCGCGTCCTGGATTTCCGCAAGATCAAACAACAGGCAAGGTTTCCAGATTTTTTAGTTATTTTTTATTGAATTAATATCTTATCAAAAAAGTTTCAGCTTACCAGAACCTTGGTTTTACTTTTCAGTTTTTTAAGTTAACTTTTTCTTTCTTCGTTAATGGCAGACTAGTAAATCTGGTGGTTCAGTTGGGAAAAATAAACCATAAACAATCGTTACAAATAAATCGTAAAAATTGAGAAAAATGTCGGCAGCTGGAAAACTAGATTGTACGTTTTTTTTGCAGGAGCGCGACGAAGCCGCCGCGATGTTTAAGGGAAAAAAAGGCCGCCAGCTGGAGAAGGAACTGGGCCAGAAGACCAAAACCGTCGTGGCTGGTGTGGCCACCGCTGAACCCAGCGTCCTGGCGGCGGCGACAGCCGGACGATCCGCGGCGGAAGTGGAAGCTATCAAGGTTAGCCTGGCTGTATTTGAAAATCGTTATGGCTTCACTATTTTTATACAGTAATTTTGGTGTTTTAATAAGAAGTGTTCTTCGCTTCGCTTTCGGCGTTCGCTTGTTTTTCTTTCTTTTAAATTAATAGTAATAATAATAATGAAAATTTGATGATAATTTGGTAATAATTGATGATAATTTTGAATTGATGATGTCATGGTTGGTAGAACGCCATAGCCAACGCCCGCTCTCTGGAGGAAGTGGAACGTTTACACGAGATGCTGGCCGCCGGCGAAATCCCCGGCAGTCAGCCGGCCACCAACGGCGAGGCCGTCGCTGCGGGTAATTCGCAGATAATTGCCTGTTATTTAAGAACAAACTGGTTGTTATTATTACCTGTATTTTGATTAAATATGCTTATTCTCAGTTTAAAAAAATGGTTGTTATTTGGTTAAGTTTGACATTTACAGGTAATTGCCTATTATTTAAATACAAACTGGTTATTATTGTTACCTGTATTTTGATTAAATATGCGTATTCTCAGTTAAAAAAGTTGTTTGTTATTTGGTTAAAATTGGCATTTACAGATAATTGCCTATTATTTAAGTAATAACGGGTTATTATTAATTATTTTTGCCTGTTATTTGATGAAAATATGCTTATTAATCGGTTAAAAAATCGGTTGTTATTTGGTTGAAATTGGCGATTATTTGCCCCGTTAGATGAATCAACTGGGAATTTCTTGTTTAGGTGGGAATATTGTCGAGGAAGAAGACGACATGGAGATCGAATGAATTCCGTTCCGTATTGGCTGAGATTTCCCTGTGGGTTCCGTCGACATTTCCACTGGCATCGGATATTTTATTTATTTGTTGACATCTTTTATCCGCTTACTGATTGGTCGGATTTTGCGTTTCCTAATTTCTTAATAACGATTTTACCGAATTTTATATCGCATTAAACACTGATTTATCGTTTGAAGCATTGAACTGTACAAAATTAATCGACGCAGACTGTCGAGTTACTAATATTTTGGGACGTTTCTGGTAGTGATGTGCTACTAAATAAAACTAAATAAGTGCTGGTTAATTAGTAAAAGCTTCCCTGAAATTAAATGTGTAGTAAACAGTAAAGTTTTACAGCCAAGATTAGTAAAAGTAAGTAAATATTCAGCTACAATAGTAAATAGTAAGTAAATAGTAAGATTTGGCTTTCGCTAAAAAAAGTTATTTACTAATTCATTTACTAATCGAATTTTTTCGAATATCCAGAAGACTCATTGCTGTATTAGGGCAGGTTCATCATTAATGGTGATGCATACTAAAGTTGGTGCCCTAACAGACGGTGGTATTGCTGTTCACGTAAACGCAATGTACCGCCAACCCGAAACTGCGGTTACGTAAAGTACTTATAATTATAGGATTTGAAACACTGCAATGCAGCAGCAGCCTGGCAAGCCGATTGTGCAGCGCAGTTGTACTGTTAGATTTTGCCTTTACACCATAGATTCGCATAAAGTACAGTACATTTTGATTACTTCATGAAACGCACAAGCGTCCCAAGAATGATAATAACTTTAAATTAAAAATTAGATAAAATTTATTTAGTATAATTAGTAAGTAATTGGTTGGGAAAAATGGGAATAGTAAGTAATAGTAAGTATTTCAAAAATTTTGGGGTTAATAGTAAGTAATAGTAAGTAAAAGTTTTGGTAGATTAGTAAATAGTAAGTAAGGTAGCATGAAGCTGTAGTAGCACATCACTAGTTTCTGGGACGCTGCTTTTATCATCGCGAAATTTGTATAAAGTATCAATAAAAATTCTGACTAATGCGAACGTAAATCTGGGAAGAATTAAGAAAAACGCGCTACAAAAATACCGATTTAATTCAGCGCTTGAGTTCCCGTTAATTTACTGCTAAAACTGCAGTAAAACATTTAATCGACGCGACTTCTGTAATTTTTTTACTTTATTGCCGATATTTGGCACCACTTAATTTGTGCATATTTTAAAAAAATACATTATCAACTAATGCGACCGCAAATCTGGCACGAATTATAAAAATACGACTTTAATTCAAGCTCATGAAAAAACATACAGATTCAGCATCAAGCCGTAATCAACATTTAAAACCCGGCAAAATTATGAGAAACAGTCAACTGGCACAAATACAAGAGAAAATACCCGCTGGACACGTTGAGAGAATAAAAACGCGAGAAACTGAAAAAACAGCCTCCGAAAAATAAAGAACCAATAGCCATCCTATCCCTTAAAATCCCCAAGCCGAATTCTAATATCACAGTCAACCACAAACCGATCCTGCATTCTGCGCACCATCTTACAGCGCCTCCTCTGCATCCGGCCATTCAGGACCATTATCTCCGTTCTCCGACAGAGGCTCCCCTTCCTGCTGCGCCTCCTGCACCAGCTGCTCCAGATGATCCACGCGGGCCTCCATATCCTGGCACTCCCGTTCCAGGGTGTCGCGTTCACGCTGCAGCTTGGCTTTGAGCTGTTCCAGCTCGCGGAGGCGTTCACTGAGCTCCAGGAGACGGGCTTCCAGGAGGCGTTTGCGCTCTTCCAGCTCACGGCGACGGTCTTCCTGTTCGTACATGTCCAGGATGAAGTCCACGGTGGCCGGGCTGGATTGGGAGAGGATGCCGGCGTAGGGACGGTCGGCGGCGGTGGCGGTGCGGAGGGAGGGTGGGGGAGTGTTCTCGGGCATGCTGGGGGAATAATTCGGGAAGACTGTCCAGGAAGAATGCACAATTCGCGAAATAAATTAAAATAATCCACTGGCAGGACAAGTACAAAGTCCAATGGCGATTTTATTAACTTTTTAAAAAATTTAAACTCAAGTAATCCACAAACATTCGGTGAAATGCAAAACGAATTCAAAAAAATAAAGAAGGAAATTTGAAATGAATGGGTTTGGAAAAAGTGACGTTCATTCTGATCAGCTGCATGATTTGCATCTGCGCAGATCAGTGAAGAAAAGGCGCAAGCGATAATTTCACGGTAGCAACACACGCAGGATCAGGCAATCCAGCCAAGTTTTGCAAAACGTCGAACATTGAAATTTTATTGTTTTAACAATTCTAAATAAAATATATTCCACAAGGCACAAGCATTCGGTGATTTGCAAAATAAATACTGAATTCATGAAAATAACCCAAGAAATTCGAAAATGAATGGGTTTGGGAAAACGATGCGCATTCTAATCGCTCAGTAATCCGCTGCCGCCTGACAGATCGGTAGAATAGGCGCAAGCCGTCATTTCATGGTAGACAACACAACACACAGTAGTAGAAGTTGTCGAACACAGCGCAGCCAGCCGTGCCTTTGTACGTGACGTCAGCTTTGTTTAGACCGGTTGCGCAATGCTAACGCTGCGCTCAAGGAAAACAGCCATAATTCCGTGTTACCAAACAGGCAAACACCGTTAAAACAGGTTTTAATACGGTTTTATTCGGCAGAGAGCTTTTTAACGAGTCCGACACAAAATTCGGTAAAAGTGTATCGCCTAGACTGTAGCCTGCGGATTTTTAATATTACACAGGTACGCTACTGTACGATTCTCCTTGAGGTGTTTATGATTTCTCACGCAACACACTGCGATCGTAATTTGTGCCGCGTAATCCCGCATCAGCTGACGCGCTACTTTTGGTTCCCTTTTTTTCAGACAGCGCTGGCTAATTTGTTCTCATTTTTCCTGCAGCGAGTGTGTGGTGAATCTGTTGAATATTTTCTCGGGAATTTGTCGGAATAATGTCGCTGCGGAGGCAGAGCAGCGGTGAGGTGGGAGCGGAGGCGCACAGCGTGCATCCCGTCCATCCGCCGGAGACCAGCATCGCCACGGCAGACAAGTATCTGGCGGCCGATATGGCCGAGGCGCGCCACCACGCCGCCGATCAGGACCTCCTCAATCAGGGCATCCCCATCGCTGATAAGGATCTGGCTGGATATTTTCCACCCGCGACAGGTGAGGGATGGATGGCGATGATGCGATCCGAGAAAAATCAAAGTCTAGCTCACGTGATCGGTGATTTCTTGTGGAAATAAGAAATTCAATTTAACATTTTAAAATTTTATTATTTTTATAGTTCACCTCGCTTATTTATAATTGAAATTGCTTTTCAAAACATTCTCACAGTTTTTTTAGAATTTGTACTGTAATTTTCCAGCTTCATTTTTTAATATTTTCGAATTAATTTCTTGACGTGACGAGTAGACTTAGAGTAGTCTGCTTGATGAATGAAAATTTCATTATTTCAGAATTTAATTGAGAAAAATGGAACTGAATCAATTTTAATTATGGAACAGCTGCTTGTAATTTACTGGAATATAATTATCCGGTCGTTGTGCAGATTTTCAATTTTGGATTACATTTTTCCAGTGTTTTATTTTAAATTTAAAAATCATTTTGCGCCAGCTGGGGTACCGGAAGTCGAGTAAAACGCGATGCGTAGCACGGCGAAGACGAACCGAAAAGTAAAATTAATTAGTAACTAATGCGTACTTAATTTTTAAATTGAAAACTAATCCGAAAATAAATAACGTTTGTTTTTTGATTAATTTCAAGCTGAATTATTTTTTACAGATCGAAAATTAATCCGGTAATAAAGCTAAGAAAAATTATTTTTAACAAAACCCGGCAACTGACAATTTGCTGGAAATACTTAAATATTTTTAAAAATTTTTCCTCGAATGTAAAATCAATGCGTATTGACACGGTATTGTGGTTGGCAATCAAAGTCTCTTGTTTGACATTCTGACATGTTTTTGACTGATTATGTAGGCCAGGCCGGACCCGACGGGCTGCGTGACGATTTCCCCGTCACCCACGGTCAGGGCGGCGCCGTGCGTGAGGCGCCCAAGAGCGCCCAGGAGCGCGCCGAGGACGAGCTGCTGAAGGATGTGCGCATGCCGGAAAAGCATTAGTTTCCCCTTCCCGCGTCTCATCAGCACTTTTTTGTTTGACATTCCGTTGCCGTGCATCGATGTTTGTGTTACAGTGTTAGGATGGTGTACAGTTTAATGTGCCTTTTATTTGTGATCTGTCGTGCGGCTTCCAGCGAAAATTTTCAAAGCGATGTTATTTATTGGTGTTATACTGTTATGCAATAATTCTAATTCATTCGTCATAATTATGATCATTTTAGACCTTTTAATTGCGAATGTACAGTGACCAAGAATTAAATAAATTTTACTTAGACACATCTTGATATTGTGTTTCTTATTGATAAATGGAAATTTATAAAATGAAAAAATATTCGTGATTTATTTTATAAATGAAAAAATATTATAATAAATAAGTTTATTGTAATAAATTTTACTTCATAAATAAAAAGTAATTGTAGTTTTAATTTTGCAAGCCACGAAAAAATTAAATACTATAATAAACTATAATTAAGAAATAAAATTAAAATCAGTTATGGTGAGCGAAAAAAGACTAAAATTCTCCAAGAAATTTTTACACAGACTTAATCCAACAAAATATGTTTCAGAAAATCAGAAACGCCAGCTAAATAATTTTTTTCGACTATCAAAACAAACTCGCTGATCCGTCAAAGATATCAGCTGAACAGAAGGGAGTTAAAAACACTCTGTAAAAATGCAGTAATTTTTAAAATTAAACTGACCGCAAATTCGGGTCAATAATCGGTAATTAAGCCGGCGCCAGGTCAAAATGCATAGTTCACAAATGGCTCATCTATCATAATGGTATTTTCCGATGTAACGTAACCGGAGCACTATGTTCATTGATTAGTCATATTTTGCAACATGTCAGCGATTGCGTATCGGTAGCGTTTACAAATTCCCCATTGATTATCGATAAGCGGTATGCAATTGAGAAAAAGGCAAAAGCCAACACGCAGCCGTAATCAAACACCACAACACGAAAATCCCCTGCTAAAGCGCTGCTTTCACGTTGTTTGGGTTTTTGCCTCGTGCGGTCGATGCTGCCGCTAGCTGGTGGGCGGGCACGAGGCGCTGGCTAATCCGCCAATCGGAGCGCTGTACGTGCGGACGAGGCGTGCTACACCGTTTAACCAATGCTCATTCGCGTACTGTAGGATTTCAGCCAATGACAACCACGCAGAGGTGGAGTTAGCTTGCCAGCTTCCGTTCCGTCGAAAGTACGGGTGAATGGGATCTTTCCCAGCCCGACCCACAGTCAGAGATCTTTATAAGCCGCGTGTACGAGCCAGACAAGAGCCACGTTAACAGTCGAAATCGATTACCACAGCAACCTTACAAATCTTAGTTTCTGACTTTTTCTGAAGCAGTTTTTCTGACGAATTATTATCCTCGATAAAACAATGGCCGATCGTAAGTGGGAACAAGCCAAGAACGAAGCCGGCGCCGCCGCCGAGCACGCCAAACAGGCCGGCCAGATCAAGCTGGACGAGACGAAACAGGCGGCCCACGAGAAGAAGGAAGAGCTGAAGCACGACGCCCAGCATGCCGCCCACAATGTACAGCGCAAGGCCCACGAGGCCGCCGAGAACGTGAAGGATACGGCCCGTGACGTCCAGCAGCAGGCCGGCCAGAAGTGGGAGGAGACCAAGGATGCGGCGGATAAGAAGAGCAAGGACGCCGCACAGGCCGCCATCGACAAGACGCGCCAGGCCACCGACGCCAGCAACACCAAGGTCAACCAGCAGCTGGATAAGGCCGAGGACGCCGTGCAGGACAACCGCAGCTTCCTGGAGCAGGCCAAGGAGGGCGCGGCGCACGCGGCCACCGTCGTGGGGGAGAATGTGCAGTCGGCGGCTGCTGTCGTCGGTACGTTCAATTTATTCTTATTAATTTACAATAATTTGTGATCATTTTCCTAGAGCGATGAACAGTTAAGATTTTTCTAAGAATTTTTTTTTCATCAATTTCTGAACTTTTCAGCAATATTTATTTCTTCATAATTCCTTAATAATTTCGAAATAGGTTTTTATGATTTCGTTCTGATCAACTAATTACTAATGCCTTGATAATTTTTTAATTTGTTTCGTAATTTATTGTTTCTTAAAAATTCTGAAACATTCCTGAATAATCTCTCAGTAATTTCCCAATATTTCTGCAATAATGTTTAATCATTTATCAGTTTATTTTTGAATTCCTTCATGATTATTCATGAATAATTGCCGGATCTTTGTTGTTGAATTTCCTTGGCCTGGTTTCAAGCACTTGACATAATTATGAAGTTTTATTTGCATTTTATTTTTGTAGATTCGCATCCATTCATGATTCATTTTCTGTTTCATGTTTTACCATTCGTATCCATATACGTATAATTTCGTTTTATTTTATTCATTTTTAAAAATTCCGTTAAGCCGGTGTAAACGGGATAATTGTTAATGCGCGCCTTGTTTTTAACGAGCGATCGATTTCCGCCTTTCATTACAAGCTGCCACGTAGTACAGGCACCCCACCAGCTTGCGCAGTATTTAATTTCCATGGTTTTCTCTGTACAGGCGGATACGCTGCCGCAGCGGCTGAGGGCGCCGCGCATCTCGCCACGGCCGCCTACGAGAAGGTGGCGCACGCGCTGGATCCCAATGCGCCCGCGACGGCCGGCGACGTGGGGAATGTGCCGTACAAGAAGGAAGAGAAGACCGTCATCGAGCACAATGTCAGCAAGTAGACGCGCACCCTGCATTTCCCTGTATTTATTCCTCTGAATTAATCATCTCGTCTCTCTCGCGCGGTCGCTGTACAATCAAACACGGTTCCAACTGATTAAGAGTATTGTCTGTGCATTCCTGTTTATTTTCGAATTTCGGTTTCCTTTTTTTTGTATGAATTTTCGTTGGTATAATATTCTGTCAAGGATATGTTTTTTGAGATGGCTGCTTTTTTGACAGCTACACAGCGGATAATTCACAGTGTTTCTTGTCTCGGTTGGGAAATGGTCGTGTTGGCCCTGTGGAGAGCATGCACTATTTGCACCATATCGGGCTTTCAGTAAAACAAATTCGATAAACGGAAGGCGGTACAGAGTCCATTATTTCTAGCTTTAACATTTTCTTTCATCGCGCTGAAATTATTTTAATTGAATTACACAAATCAAATACTAATGAGTAATGGTCAACAGTAATTATCACGAATTGCACCAATATATTCGTCACTGGACGGATCCACAGCGGAAAAAGCTGTTCGTACCAAATAATATTCTAGTAGGATTTAATTATTACGATTAATTTATGCTTTTTTATTTATTAGGATTCATTTTATTTTTAAACGAAGCTTTTGTGGGTTTGTTTTTCACTTTATTAACGGCGATGGATACGACCCGTTAGTTTTATTATGCAACCGTATTATTAATCTGCAAAAAAAACATACTTGGTTATATTGAAATATTGCTGACTGCTAATTCTGTGGACAAACAGATACATTCCGTTTCCGGTGCACCAGAGATTCGTCGAGTACGAATTAAATCCTTAGAATTAATTAAATTAATACGACACTCGTATTGGCCTCTATATTATTCGTACGTATACGGTATACTTGATTTTATTCAGCCGGCTTGACAACCACTGTATTTCACAGCAGTGCATGCGCCGCGTTTTTATAACAGTAATTTTAGCCGGCATATTAAAGGTTGGATTTACACCGCCACCCATAATATTAAGTACCAGCACGATGTTGTGTACTGTATGTACTTTCCCGGATTTCCCAGACAGCCACACCTTCGTAGCAGCGCTCTTTAACCTAGTCCTAGTGCATGTCCGGCAAAAGAAATTCAACAACAATAAATCGTGGGAAATATTCATCAGAACTAAATATATTTACTGTCAACGCCTCAGCGGTGTCCTTCTCGAGTAAACCTGAAAACTTCCGTCCTTTTAGATTCGATTTACGAAGAATGAGCTGAATAAATATTTTTCCAAATGAATTAAGCCGCCTTCCACGCTACACTGATATCCGCAGTAATCGGTGTGTTTGTTTCCGCTCCGTCATGACAAGTGTACGCGAGTCCAACTTGTACAAAGGTCGGCGCATCGAATAATAATTGATAAACCCGTCAAGCATTCTTAAAGTGCTGATTCAGGCATAATCAACCCTGGAACACATTGCGAAATGTTTACGTGTTGATGTGCTTGTTTTGTGCCGGTACAGACGGAAATTCACCTATAAAAGCCAGCACTTGCCAGTCTGCACTCACCGTCTGATAGATCTGATAATATTGTTTCTACGCCACTTGATAAGATCGCACGACGTAACATTTTAAAAGTTGAACAGCGTTGGCTATTTTTGTACGTGCACGGCGCTAATCGCGGCCAAGTGACCAATCGCCGGCGCGGAATATCCCGCTGCATCGAGTACGAGAAATTTCCTGATTGTGCGGTAGCCAATTGCGCGGCGGAGGAGGCGGAGTCCCAGCTGGCCTTTGTCCAGGCGTGCGTGTTCTGACGCGCTTATCAGCGTGCGATATTTTCCACTGATCGCCGAGTTTTGCCCATCATTCATGTTTTTGAGCAAAATTTGCAAGCTGAAACCAGAATTTTTGACAGCCATAATTTGATTTTGCAAAAGCAGATCATTGACTTCGGAATCTTGGAACTTTTCTGACGAATATTTTACCGATTCCATCCAGTTCTGACGACGGAAGTGGTGCTGCTGTTAAATCTTTGAATATTTGGAAATAATCCGTTATTTTCCTTGAGGGATTAAATAATTATCAGGATAATTTCAACTTGGTGAGTCTGGATTTGTAATTTATATTTAGCCCGTAGAAAATAATGTAGAATTATATTTCTAGCGGAATGCTTAGTGGCTGCTGCTGCGACAGGACTGCAAAATTATAAAGGTTAATTTTCTTCTGTAATTCAATGGCTAATTTTCTTTTAATTAATTAACAATTAAATCTCACGCTGGAATGCATGGCATCATTAAAAATTTTATAACTAAAAATAATAACTGCTAGTAAATATTGGAGCATTAATTTTGGGTGAATTCTTATAATTATTGTATTCTGAAATATAAATACTCGTAGAAAGTGGAAAAAGGATACATTTAAAAAATAAAATAGAAATAAGACTAATGAAAAATTGTATAAAAATTGGAAATTAGTCCGTATGCATGTGCATGATGTTGTTTCGTTATGGAAAAAATTATGGAGATAACAGGAATAATCGGAAATGAATTATAAAATAAGGATTGTTTACAAATTATAAATTATGTAATTTATCCGAGTGGAAGTGGTTATATACTACATGCGCCACACCCTGCAGCAATTTCTGCGACAAAGGTGTTATTTTTGCTGTACTCACCCGTTTTGTAAAGTTGTTGTTTTCCCTTTTACTCGTCGTTCTACTTATACATTTCGCGCTCAAGTGCAACCGGAAGTGGGTTTCTTTATTTTCGCCGTATTACAAGAAATTCATCGAAGCTGCATGTTTTTTTGCGCCCAAAATCTCCCCGGATATTATTTGTTTTCTACGATATTACCTGCCGACGCTCGCCTAACGGAGACAAAAAAACATACATCGTAATTGTTAAAAAAACAAGATTAGTACTTGTAATTTCCTGGTGGCCTGGAGGAAGTTTTCACACCGTTAATTTCTGTACAGCGCTATTAATAGCAGCTGAACCGTTACGTTCGTCTTGTTTTTTCCCTATCGCGATTGATCGATCGCTCATTAAATTATCGAAATATACGCGTATATAATACACTCGTCGTTAAAAGGTTCTGATCGGGGTCACTCGGATTACTGTTTCGTGATTGTGCACAAATTATTTGCCTCGATTTTTGTATCCCACTGTGTAATTGCTGGTGAGAATTTTGCTGATATTGTTTCGCAACTGGTATTAATCATAAGCAATTCCGCAGGTCTTTTTATTATTTAAACCAATTTTTATTTTTAATCTTGCGAAATAAGTCCGTAAAATTAATTCCTATTTCGTATGTTATTTCAGCCTGGATTTCAAAATAATTAAATTAATTTCGATAATCACAATAATCTTTAAAAAGAATTCCTGGCACTACTTCCGGTCGTCTTGCTTGCTTATTTTATTTTAAGTTAAACCATTTTAGTTTTTAAAATTGCGGTAAATTCATAAAATTAATCTTCGTTTAGTATTCTGCTCCAGCCTAAATTAACAAAAGTTGATAATTGAATTAATTTTAGTTGTAGTAATTTTTTAGTTGTAGTTGTAGTAGTATAACGATAATATTATTTTCTCTAGTATTTGCCAGCTGGATTTCTACGCCTGTATTATTATTACAAAATAATTGACGGGTGCAGTTTGACGTTAAATTTTGGAATCTGCATTTGATTTGTAATTTTTAATTCAAGGGATTTTTCGAACAATCATCAGGCAATTAAAAAATGAAATAATAACATTGGGAATTTTTCAGAGAATAAGCGATGGCCGTGGTGAAATCGAGTGAGACGTCGGCGTCGAATAATTCCCTGAAGAGCATGGACACCAGCGAGAACAGTCCCGCCACCAACGGGAAGACGCCGTTGGGCGCGCGGAAGAGCGACGAAGCCGGTCGTGGAGCGAGTAAATTGGCCGACATGAAGACACTGCAGGAGCTGGATAAGACCGTGGTGGACGATGCGGACTTCCTGGCCTGGCTCAACAAGAACAACTCGGACGCGTCCGACCCGACGCGTTACTATATGGAGCATTCCCGCCGGGATTCCAAGGATTCCCTGCATAATTACGGGCTGGGCGAGCGCAAGACGTCCTCGGTATCCAACAAATCGCATTCTCCGGTACGTACATACATTCGAAAGCAATCCATACTAAAAAAATGCGTTAGGTGTTGTGTAAAAATTAAGCCTCGTAAAATACGTAATTAGCATCGGTTTCGACGATATACAGATATGTATCTGTATGTATGACGTAAATTCACATAATTTAATCCCTTTGGTAAAACTATCTGTAAATAATTTCGCAGAAATTAATACTAGTAAGTAATAAATTATTGAGCGCTAAATTTATTTGAAATTAGATTAAACAATTTTTCGGATTTTGTCATTTGCAAATAATTAATAATTAATTAATAATTAATTAATAATAAATAATTAATTGTAAAACTTATTCAATAATTAATAATTAATTTTATTAATTTATTTATTTTCATTTAATTGTGAAATTAAATGAAATAATTTAACTACCTTGGACCCTTGGTTAAAAAAATGATGGCTGCAGTAGAATTCGTTCAGTTAAATTCAATAGTTCCCCAGCATTTACTTGCTAAAATATTAGACATCAAATCACCAGTTAGATTATTGGCTACAAAAAGAAGCAGGAAAAATAAACGAATAACAGCAATAAAGTACCATAAAATTCATGTTAAATTACTGTTGTACAGGACAGCGAGGGGGAGCACCGCCACAGCCCGGTGGGGCACATCCTGCACGCGCTGCACCTGGACCGTAAGGCGCGCCGGCACGCCAAGAAACGCCGCGCCCTGAACACGGCGCAGGCGCTGGAGCAGCTGGACATGGAGCGCTGGGAGGCCAAGATCCGGCAGGAGCACGACGACGTCGACGGCAGTCCGTCGGCGCCCCGCGAAAGGTCAGCAGCGTCCCGGCACAGCGCCTCGCAGTCTGATAGCGATAGCGGCTCAGGTACAGCGCTTTTAACGCTTCTAACCCGCACATTTTCGCTCGCATTTTGCAATTTTTACAAATTAAAACCAGCCAGAATAAAAAGATTTTATTTTCAAAGTCTGCCTATTTTTTTATTATTTTTTGGCAGGTTGGCTTCGTTTTTTTTAAAATTTATTTCATCATTTCTTGGGAGCTCTTCGGTTTTTTTTGTGGCAAAAAATACAGATACACTTTTTGCTTTATTGGCAGTCGGAAAAGAAATTTTTTTATGGTTGTAAAACGCGACCATGCTCACGTTTAGGCGCGGTCAGCTGTGGAATAATAGTGCAGTTAATTTATAAAAATAAAATAAAGGACGTCTGAATCGGTCTGATGCTTTTTTATTGGCATATAAAATAAAAGAATTTACTGTAACTGCTCGCGGAGATCATAAAACGGCAGCTGTGCGCCTGGCTGGAATTTGACTGTCGCATGCCGCCACGCCAAAATATTTGCTTGCAGTTTTCCCATTTTATTTACTACTCGTCTTGCTTATTTGCTTTTATGCTTTTACACCCTGCTTTATGCTTAAGTACTTTATTTGTCTATTTGGTATTAAAATGAACAGGGAGCAGTTTAATTTTGGCTACTAATGCCGTCAGTAAAAATGCAAACGCGAACCATAGACACAAGACTAAACATTTAATTTTATATATGCAACAAGGATAACATTTAATAAGAATAATGTTACTGAAACGGCTATCCATAAAATCACAATAAACATGAGTAAAATTTCATAAACAAAGATGCAGATTAAATAAATGAAAAATATAAGCGACAGTAAATATAATGGTCGTTTCTTTAGGAATGCGAGACAATAAAGATACCCTGCGTACGAGTAATCAGAATATCGAAATTATTCCGTATTTATTTTGAAAGCATTTCAGAAAATACACTTGGAAAAAGTTTCCAAAAATATTTCTTGTAATGAATTACGTATAAAAACTTTCGCGTACGAACCGCAATTTTCAATAAACATTGTACAACCTTTTTGCAGACGATTCTGGTGAGAGCGACACCGGCGCCCACGCCGCTGCCGCTTCCTCCTCCGTCCCGCTGGCGCTCCTCAATCCCGATCTCATCCAGCGCAACGCCGCCGAACACTCCGGGAATCTGTCCGCTGCCTTCGCCGCCGCCTCGCATCACTCTGACGAAGACGTTCCCTTGTCGTCGGAGCGGATCGACCAGATGATCAAAGATTCCCATAAACACGATGCCGAATTATCATTGGACGACAAAGACGCCAAACGGGAAGGCACGGTGGTGTTTGGCGTGGAGCGGGATGAAGCGCGGCCTAATAATATTGAGATGAAGGTGCTAGCTTGAGGATGGCCGCTGTAAAGGTCACTTGTCATGCCCGTTACATTTTTCGTGATTTATCTGAATTTATGTCACGATTTGGTTTACAATATTTTTTTTCTCAGTTTTATTGATGTGTTTCCGGTAATATATTTTATTAAATTGGATATTTTAGTTTTCGAAAATGCCTGTTTTGAGATTAATGTGTAAAGGTCACTTACACGTCAGATGTTTTTCTGTGATGTTGTGCACTATTTTATTTCTTTTCACTATTTTAATTGATCACTATGCACTATTTTAATTCTGATCAAAAATTGCCGGTGTGTTTTTGCTGGCGACATTGATTGTATAGTTGCTGTACAGACAATTGATGGGAGATTAAAGCGTTTTGTGTTTCCGCAGATTTTTTGCGATTTTCTAGATTTATTTTCACGATTTTTAATATTTTTAAAATTATTTCTTAATTTTTATAATTTTTACATTCTCGAATTATTTTTCACTTTTGATTAGTTTCTTTCCGGCAATATATTTTATTAAAAGAAAATCGAACATTTTAATTTTAGAAGTGGAATTAATTTGCAAAGGTCATGTATTTCATGCCAGCGGTATTTTTCTGTAATGACGTGCATTATTTTAATTATGAAAAAAATCACCGGTGCTTTTTGGCGGCGACATTGTATCGTCATTGTGCAGACAACTGATGCGAAATTAAAGCGTTTCGCGGTTGCATTTCCTGACAGCGGAAGTGACTGGTAATTTCTTCCATCGTCATGCGCCGTTAATTATGCATTTGAACGCATTTTTGTGCATGAGCGATGCTCGTCTCTGTACTTATTGCAAATAAAGTATATAATTAAGCATTGTGGCCAACTTATAAGTAAACACTACACTCATGGGAAGCGCCGCAACGATGCGTAATTACGCGGCGGAAATATACGGAAAATGTGCGGTATCATGGCGCATACAGCGCAGGATTGTGCCACTTCATCGGCGCTCTGCATTCGAATATTTCTGCTCTAGTCATTCGAATTATCATAAATGCTTCCGTCACTGATGTATGTCGCGGTGGGATGCAGGGTGTCAGTGGCCACTTGACCATACGATTAAAACCTGTGACGGGAAATTATGCAGTAATTAAGCAGGCGATTCAGAATTTCAAGACCACGGTTTGTGCTTTAATGCACTTGATGGTAATGTAATTAAAAAATGTGGAGTACAGCGGGAGCACTCTCAATAATTGGGATAAAGCGCACAGCAGATATAACAAGCGAATCCACGAAAAACTGAGAAAAAAAATTCAAACGCTCAACAAATGGCTTCTTGAATTTGTCATATGTTTTGTCATCAAGTGCATTAGTAGATCAATTACTTTTTATGCGGCATTTTTGCCGGCATGGCTAACGAGTCGGCCGCATTATTACATTACCGAAGCTGGAATGGTTATTGGCAGTACTTCCGCTTCGCTGCTTCCTCGTTCCATACCTGTTCGTACGTACGTTTTGACACGATGTAGGTACAACGCGTTTTATTAAGTATCTTCCAAAGTACAACGTATGTATTTCATTTTATTCGATTTTCATTATATTAAAGCGAAAAAAATTAATGCATTTTATTTAAATATACAAATTTTAATTAAGTTAATATGTAATTTATGTATTTTATTTATTTTGTTTCGTGTGACCTTGCAACGCTTAATAAGGAAAACTAAACAATATCATGTATACGCAAACAAGAACACATTTATTGCAGGATGAACGAAAACTTAATGCAGTATATATCGTGAAGCAAATACCTGCTCGTGATCTAGTGAGCACTGGATACAGTACAGATAAAATATGTTCCTGTTGCGCACACCGTTTATCTTATGCCTTTACTGGCAGAAACCGTACCTTCCGTGTGCAAAACACTGTTGGTGGATTGATGAAGGTAAACATCACCAATTCATCAACAACTTTGCCGCATACGAAATAACGAATCCTTTTTTTTTATAAAAATTAGCACAAGCTGGTATTAAATTAATAGGACATGATCCACAATAAGTACAGTAATATAACGTTGCAGTGTACAGTATGTACAGTACGGTCGGTAAACGGAGCGGTACCGCATGCCGACGAGATGAAGGGTACGGAAACCAGGACCAGAATAGCGTACTTATCACGTCCTCCCCGCAAACAGGCAGCCGCTAAATCGTTGCCCTTAGTTATGTGTTGAAGTTGAACATTACTTTCCCAACAGATTAGGAGACCTGTTGCGACGAGGTTCTCAGACAGCGCATTACCATCAACCATGTAATCCTCTTCCACCGGTAGGAAGTTGCGCTGTTGTACGTCATAGTCCTGATATCTTGAACGACGATGCCGTCTAGCAAGGCTACGTGTTAACAGAAATCCAGGTCATGACGGTCAACAGCGCATAATTTAGTGTTCGTTGAGCAAAAGGAATATCATCACGAGACTTTTCAGTGGCGCACAAATGCAGGCATAATCTGTTCGAAATTAAAAAATAAGAAACATCAGAAAACATAAGAATAGTACATGACAAATATATGCTACATTGCTACGCAAAGAAGTTCCGAAAGCCGCACACAGACCGGGGTAACTTTCTATCATTTTTGAGTTACACGAACAGGTTGTTTATAATTATACGAGTACCTCCAGAAACAAGCTTCGTGTTAGTAAGAGACGCCAATGACCAGTTTATCACCTTGCAATTACTGTCTGATGAAAATGGGTTCGTCAAATTTGTTGCACCGGCCATGGTTAGTGGTCAGTTACGCGATAACACGCTTATAATTGTGGTATGATTGGTATCTGTAGTTGATCGGGTAAATGACAAAGGAATACTGCAAAAAAACCGCTTTCATGAGAATACCACAGTAATCATAATTCCGCACACTTTTACAGTACTTTGTTCTTTTGCAGTATATCAGTTCAATGTTCGATTGAAGAACCAATCGCCTACTGCGAAAAGATACAGTTGATTAAAACACTGCCAGAAGTCGCATCATTATTACCTGTTGGACATTGCCTTCCAACCGATTGTCAGACCTGCTGCACCGTGACGTTTCGCAGGTATTTCTCCCATCAACCATTCACTCGATCCTTTTCCGCCGCCAGGAATTTCGCGCTATTGGTAGACACGACCTTGACATCGTTAATGGACGATGCCGTTGAAGAAAAGCAACGTTAATCAGAAATCAAGGTCACGAAGACCAACAGCGCCCTGGGTGTGGTAATAACAATATCATCCCGATACCATATCCAGCGGCGCACAGGTATCATACTGTGTTCCAGATTAGAAAATAACGCGGATATTCAGATATACAGTAAGTATACGATCCACGAAGATGAACAGCAAGCCGCGCATACACATGTTATATCATTTTTAGGGTACACTAGCAGCAGTAAGTGGTTTGTAGACTACTGGTGGTAGTGCTGTTGAACCCTAGTGTCGATAAATATAGACCACTAGAAACAGGCTCCGTATATCAGAGACTAACCAATTTGATGTCAGTTTAAAATGGGGTGGACAATCTTGGTGTTCCGGTTACTTATCGTAGTGATCAGTTATGCGATAATACACTACAAGTAAATTTTATGGAATCTATAGTCCACCAGCTAAATAACAAAGGAATACTGAACGGTCTGCTTCACTTCCACCACCTCGAAAACCGGCTGTCATGGGAACACACAGTAGTAATTCTTCGCATTGGTACAGTACTGTGAGTGTGAGCAGTTCGATGTTCCTCATGAAAAAGATCACTTTGATCAGCATCAGATCGGGGATGAGCATATACGGCCTGTACTGTAATATCCTGTAGTATGTTTATGTTATCAGGGATTCACATATAAGGCCATTGCATAAGGAAGGCTACGTAGGTAGCTACGCCTTCGTACTCTAAATATATCAAGATCTGAAACTGTTCAAGGCCAGATATACAAGTTGCTGTTCGGCATGCTCATTCTCTAGTGGGTATCATCTACACTTCCGGTACACGCATCGTTAATGTATCCATCCACGTTACAGCACAACTATTAATATCATACATTACAAGCCAGCCAGAGATGAATCGAAAAGCATGTAGCATTTATATCTGTCAAAATGTATAACGTACACCTAAGTACGTTGAAGAGCCAGTAAAAACGCTTTCCTTGTTAAATTTATGCTCATTTTGAAGACGGTAAAATGGTTTTTGAGCGGATACAAGAAAAGCGGTCCATTCAGTTCTTGAAGCAGAGCATTAGTATTGCTTTAATGCGAGGCAATGCTGCTTGTGTACAGGCAACGTTTTGTATCGGTAAGAAGTTGGACGAAGCGTATTACGTACTGAAGTGATTTACTGCGTGATTTTCTGTTCCACCAATGGATATGTAAAGAACCGATTGATGTATTAATACCGTTTGAAAACGCTTGAAATAAGGGGTCATGGCTCCTGCGATACTTATCGATTAGTGCCTTATTTAACGCCATCCGATAAAGAGGCGCGAGTCGTGGCGCTAACTGCATGACGAGTACAGTGTACATCGAGTATACTTTTAGTCTTTTACGGTTCAGATGACTGTAGTTCATGCTCGTAAAAGCACTAAGGTTTTAAAAGCTTACTAATCGTAAGAAGTTTAGTTTAGTAGTAGTAGTTTATGTACAGTACGTAGTATAGTTTTGTTTATCCATTGTGCAGTTTAGTTTATCCTCGAGACGCATAATTTAAGAAACAAAACAACATTACAGAAAAGTTTTTGATTTCAACAAGGACAGATAAGTCTTAACAGAAACACAGATAAACAAACCGCAACCATAAAATTCGTATACAAGCAAGGCTGTGGCGCACTCGACCCCAACATCTTTTTCCAAGGTACGGAAAAAGAACCGGTAGCTGTTAGGTACATCACCGTACATATACAACGGACCACGTGCGTCGCGAAAACATGCAGCCGAAAAGCGTCGCAACAAGTCTCATTATCTGTTGGACACAACATTCCAACAGATTATGAGACCTGTTGTAACATTCTCAGGCATTTCTTCCATCGATAATGCTCCATACCCCTTTTATCAAATATGCCTTCACCGTTATTTTGCGTGATGATCTTTGTAAGCTTGACGTCTGCAATAATTAAGTAGAGATATGTCGTTCCATTAAAAGAAATCAACGTCAAAAGAAATTAAGGTCACACGAAGCTCAACAGCGCATTTGACGTTCGCAGAGCAACAGCAAAAGGATGCCGATACTATGCAAAAACGTACAGGTATCACAATCTGTCTCAAATTAAGCAAAACGATGATAATTATAAACTATGCAAACAACAACCGGAAGCCGCATACACGCTGCTGTATGTTGTAGAATTCTAATGTGTAGTGAAAAAAAGTGTGCTATCAGGCCGCTTTTATACCGGTATAACAGCGACCTGCTACCACACTTTTCGTACCACCGGAAACAGGCTCAGTATTACAATACTTAGAAAGTAAGTGCACATCATTTCCGCTGTGTGTTAACTTTATAATGTAATGCTTCCTGTGTGGCTGTTAGATTGTTTTTGCATTCGGTCGTCAACAGAAAGCAAGTATCACCTCGATGTCTGATTAGCACGGGTTGGGTGAACTCTGAACTGGGTGCACCGCTTGCTCAGTGATCAGTTACGCGATAAACACTAATAAAGCTCACTCATTATGGTATCTAAAGCTCCGAAGCTCATCCGCTAAATAATAACAATTAACACTACTGCATAAATGTTGATAAGAATTAACGTTTTTGCAGTACTGCAATCAGTCTGATGAACCGAAAAATCAGTTTACTTTGAGCATGCGGATACGCGTAAAACAAAGGATCACCGCTCCTGTAAATGCCATGTAATCTGTGCTTTGATTTACTGTAGCTCCATTAAATGAAGAGAGGCGGCATGATGTACTGTATGTGCGGTACGAATGGACAACATTGCATATAAAATATAAATGGACATTTAAATAAGCAAAGTGTGCCGGTGATACACACTACACAGTACAAAATCCGTATACATAGACGAGAACTTTCCTGTCGGGCACCCTCAGACACATAGTTCTGCACGGATTTGTGATATTTGTATCCAGATGGCGATTGACACGTACTGTACGTATACAGGGTTTGGAAAGTTGAAAACTATTTCTTCGAGCTGCATCTGGCTGTGGAGTTATGGGAGAAACAAAATTCCAACGAATCTAGTAAACATTATCGAGCAAATCGCTTCAAATTTCGTGCATAAATGCACGGAAATAATTTATGTAGAAGATCGTTTTAAAACCATAGTTCTACAATGTTTTCCATTTTTTGAGAAGGAATTTTAAAAACTTAAAAAAATCGTTTTGAAATTTGCAAATACATGGATGCAAGGACAAGTACTTAGTACTTACACAACATTTTGTGCTATAGTACCGGCGCATGTAAAAGTAGCATCTACAGTATATGCATCAGATTGCATTTTGACGTTGATTGACGGGCTTGTATTGGATCGGCAGAATGAATGTCGGTACTCGATAAGCAGTTGTGCAAATTCAGGACGAAAAGTTATCCGCTTGCAAACACACATCGTTATAGAACTTATAGTCACCAAAACGAAATAAAACGCTGGCCGAAGGTATGTTCAGTTTCTTTATCCGAGACAACAACCGCGCACCATAAATGTAAATTTTGCAATACGAGTACACTTGCAACAAACTCCATTTTGCAAGCATACAGTCACATTTATGTGCACCAGTTTACGAATACGAGCGCAAAAACTATGAAAATTAGCATTTGGAACATTATCAGCACGTGGGCTATCCTGCTGCAGGTGTGTGGGTACTTCGCCTATCCTTGCAAAAATAAACGGGCTCGTCATCTGCGCTGCATCATGTACATCTACGTGGCCATCATTCTAAGTTCGTACGGTTACGCCGCCTACCTCGATATCTACATGTACTCTTCCGGGCATTTCTCCAGCTGGTTCACGTCCGTTGTTATCCAGCTGGTCGACATATCGGAGCTCCTGTCGAACTTAGTGTGCATCGTTCTTATGCAGAGATCCAGCGAGCGAATCATTGAACTGATCAGGAACTTACATCAGCATTCTGGCTCGCTAATAACGTGTCACGACCTGCTTTTGTACCTCGCGGCTATTTTTATTTTTATGGCGCTGGCTGTTTGCAAATGTGGCTATCTCTTCTTCCACCGGCAGACGGTGCTCCTGGCTTCAACGGTCACTTATTTCTTCCTGAAAACTCCGCCTTTTCTGATGGGCTGGTGGTCTCACGTCGCCTTGGCCATGATCGATGTGACGTTTCTGGGCCGGGATCTGCTTCTTGGGTTCCTCGTGTTTGTCATCATCAGCACCAGCGTTATTGTGCAGCGGGCGACGGTCGATCTTCGCCGGCAAGTGGTCAGTTCGGGATTGGTGGCCGTTGACGACTACGTCCGCCAATCACAGCTGACCGGTATTGTGCGCGATCTGGCGGACTGTTTGTCGACGGTCGTCGGGGTGCGCTGCTATACGGCGGTGGCGGGGATCATTGGAAAGACGTTTGATGCCAGCTGGCTGCCGGCGCCCACCGTCGAGCTGATTATCGCGCTGGTGACATACGTTTTCTCGTTTGGACTGCTGAACGCTGCGTGTGTGTATTCGGCTGAACAGGTGACGTCAACATTCATTTTCCAGATCCCTGTTTCTTACTTCGTGTACGGTTTCGGGTATCACGGGCTGTATACTGTAAATGCTCGTTTTGTGTATATTGAGCACACAGCAGCTTCTCTGCTCGAACCCGGTGCTGGTGTCTGCCGCATCATGATTAAAACTTGAAAGTAGCATCAGCTGTTTTATTATAAGTGTCGTAACTGGGTAGCGAGAATCGGCAAGAGGTTTGATTGGCTGCAAGCACTGGTTGTTAGATGATGGGCGTTTGCTGGCAGGGCGAGCGAATGGCGGACACTTTTGACTTGTGCCTCCGCGTTGGAAAGCTGCAGTGGAAGAAAGAGGAATGGATCCCTCTGTATCTTCGCGGCCGTGAACATACACGGTACACAGTATGCTTCACATTGGCCGGGATTTTCGTCAGTCGGGAAAGCGTCGTGCAGGTACTGTACAATTCTTAGACTTAACAACAAATGGTGCCATGGGGGGTAGCACGTCAGTTTGCCGACCTACAACTCGCTGCCCGACAATTTACTAACCGACATGCCGTTGACTTACACAACTCGCTGACCGACAAATTGTTGGCCGGCAATTTGCTTTTTTGATAAATTGTTGACCGACGTTTTGTTGAAACAGTTTGGCTGACCGACAACTTGCTTTTCGGTTCGACGCGCTGATTTTTGAGTTTTTCTAATTTTTTGTTGCTTTTTCTTAGGTTTATTAGGTTTCTTAGGATTCTTAGCTTAGGTTTCTTGGGTTCCTCACGTCAGCAAAATGTCATGAGCAAGTTGTCGGGGTTTACAAAAAGTCGTTCAGCGAGATGTCGTTCCGCGATTTGTCGTTTAACTGTCGGGTCATCATTTTGTCGGTCAGCAAAAAGTTGTAAGCAAGTTGTCGGTGTGCCCAAATTGGGGTCCAAAGTGGACGCTGGCTGTACCACAAACGTAATAATTTCTTATCCAGTATTTTGCCGTCAGCGGCTTTTCCGGAGTATGTTTATGAGTGGCTGTTTACTGAAAATGTATCTGGTTATTGCAGGTTGGCGCCGCATTAGCCGGCACCTTAATGGTCTTTGCCGAGCTGGCCAGCGGGAATAAACCGTCGGATTGCGCGCCGGCTTGGAATACGACATGGAGCGACAGTGGCCTACCCGTAGAGTGCGAGAACTGTGAAAAGATGCCACGGCATTAATGCGTTAATTACATGATTTGGCATGGCTGATGCATGCCAAATATGTTGATCTAAATTCTTAAAATGAAATATCGATATAAAATATAAAACACAAACTTTCCCCTTTATACTTACCCATCATATTACTAAACCTTAAGGTCTAGTAATTTTATTTAAGGGATTTGGCCCGGTACGTAGCACTAAATTCGTGTACTGTATTGTACATTCACATGAATCGCCCGGGCAATACTTAAATACAGAACAGTGAATCGAAAACTTTCGACCACCATCGACCAGAAGTTCACAACCACATTAGCCCACGACCACGACCTCGATCATCGACGACCACGACCGTGGTGACCACCTTGTAGAAACACCCATTACTAGCTTCGTCTGAGGCTTACTTTTATCTGTTTGTACATTTTCAAGTTGTGTGGATTAAGAATAATTCTCATGGTAGGTAGCCTCAAGAAACTTTATAATACGGTAGATAAATATTTCACAGTAACTACTCTACAATTTCAGCTGGAAAACTGGTATTTCACTTGTGCTCCAGTATTCTACTTTTGACTACCCTGCGTTTCGGCGTCTGGTCCGTCTGATCTATGTTCGAGAGCGCGTTTTATCTTAAGCTATCCCGTTCTTGTAGTGGGTCTTTGCAAAATAATTAACACGTAAAGTTCCACGCTGCTGGTGTATGCCAAAAGCTTAACATACACATAGATGAGCTGCTTTATTTTTCTTCGAGATTAGAAATTAAAGTTGGCAAACATTTGCACAAATAAAGTGCAAAGGAACTATCTAAACACTGCTTCTGTGTCAACGCCAATCTTTCATTATTACATGCATATCTGGCATCGTTAAAAGAAACTCCAGAGGGTGCAACCCCTGTTTCTTGAAACCACGTTTCCTTGTTTTGCAGAGTACCAATCTTGAATACACTACCCGCGGTGCGCTCGACACTCAACCGCGGATTTGCCGCTAGCCACTTCCAGAACCACTCGTTCCGGGGATCACAGTAAAAACGGTTTAGATCCAACATAATTTCCTCGTCATCCGGGAAATACATGATATTGGACACACCGAAAACTTGCAGCTTGGGCAGATCGGTAAACGTTGTGGGCTGGACAGACCGGATGGCCGTTGCATAGAACAAGATGATACGCAGATTTTGTAGCGGTGAAAGGTCTCGCTGATGTATGATCAGCGGCTGGCAGTCTTCGAAATAAATTTCTAGCAGGTTGATTAGCCCCAGCAGTCCCACGCGAAAGGTCAACAGGTTGTCAATGGAGCGCTTAATTTTCAGCACGACAATCTGCTGTCGAATTGGCTGGATGGCATCCAAGAGCGTATCATTCCGGATTTCCACATAGACAGCGCGGTGTCTACTGCGTTTGCTAATGGCTACTGTCTGCTTCTGAAAGACCTGCAACCAAGGCGAGACCAGTCCTTTCGCCACGATTAACAGATACTGCATTGCATTTTTGGCTTCGGGTGCTGCACAGACATTTAACTTTATACGTACACTTTCTTGCTTTGAGTTCTTTCTACCAATAATAATACATATGTGTTGGAGTGATGTACCGCGGGATTTCGTGTTTTATCTACCCTGGTTGGTGGTAATAAGTTATAACCCATTAAAATTAAACGTTTTGCGAATAATTTCACTCGCCCGTACGTCTTTGGTAATATCCGCATCCGGATATTCCTCACCACAAACCAGTGTGATGTGTGTCTGTTGGCGTTTAGCATAGTACTCGCCACTCGTGGGCGAAAGGAATGCACAATCAGATGCATCCAGCGAAGCAGGTGTGCAGACTCCCTGCGGCCGAGCAGTACACTCGCGTACATTCAGAGGCAAGGTGTCGAAGTTGGCGTCGGTTATATTGCCCGGTGCTTCTAAAACGGAATTCAAGTACAGAAGCACCATTCAGTAGGAAAAACCACAACGACAAGCGCAAATGCTTTTTCATATAAAAACCGTAAAGCACGGGTAAATCGAGGATTCGAGAAAAGAAGTTGTGTGGAGAAGTGTACTGTAGCCGCCCGCACAAGTTGCTCCATTGGCAGATCCGGCCGTTGCCTTCTCCATGCACACGCTGCGCTAAACAGCGAGCAATGTGAGTGGAAATATCCGTATACCTCACTCTGTGGAACTTGTGCGGGCGGCTACAGTATGTTACGAAATTTGGCGATACAAAAAAAAGAAAACATTAAGCAATATTGGACGTCAACATTACATTCTTCGATTCTCGGTAAACATGTTCAAGTATAATCTGCCCGCATAGCAGTGCGTACTTTCTGTGCCGTTGACTGTGAACACAACCGCTGGGAAGAATGCACTGAAAGTTAGGACAAAAACGAGAAAGTCCAGAAAGGAATAACAGCAAGCCATCCTCGGAAATTAATATTTTTTAATTTTGGAGTATTTCCTGCAAAAACCGATGTCTGGCTGTAAGCTCATAACGCACATGCGGACTGTCGGAACCGGTTTTGAGAAAGCGAAAAATTGTGTTTGCTTCTTTTTCCTGACTAAAGCAAACGAAATTCATTATAAAGAGCTTTGGGCACTTTTAGAATCATTAGCTACAGTGGTATATTACTTGTAAACACACTATGGTTTGTCATGGTTCATGAATACCACTGTCGCGGTGGAGTTTACCCGTTGGAAATGGGCAATGCGAACGGACAGTCTGTGCTGGGTATGGCAGATGTTACTGCACTTACAGTATATGACGGTTGGATTAGTATATCGATACAGTCGGCGCGAGGCGTGCTGGCGTTAGTGCTCCCGTCGGTGCTGCTAATCTTTTCCTTATATGGATCACATAGGTGTGCCTACAGCGAGGAAGTTACTCGTATGTTCGGCTTCTCTGGAAGTTTGTCTGGCACCATGCTGTTGAGGAAAACAAACCATGCCACCCAAATACGTAATTCTTAAAATCTTTTTCATCTACCGTACATGGTCTGTAATGGTCACCAAGCTAGTTATTTGCAAAATTTTTTTTCTAAAAACTCAAACCTAAAAACTTTGCAAACGTTTTCACGTAGTGAATCACGTGCTTAATCGTAATGGCGCCATCTGCTTCCGATTATAAGAACATGTATGTCGCTTTCCGCCCTAAGAGTCGCCTGTCGAGACACCGGTTTATCTGCCAGAGGGGGAATCACCATCCTATCAGTCTGAGCAAAGTAGTCCAGATAGTCGGCTAATTCTTGGGCGGTTCTTAGGTGCTTAGGATTTGGCGGCTGCATAAGGCGCTTGAGCGTTTCCTTGTTTCCCGCCCAGAATTCATCCAGCGTCAGGTCGGACCATTCAAGCTTGCTCTTGACCTTTCCATTGGCACCAATGCTGCCTTGGGCAAACACAAACTTATGTGGCCGGCGCAACGTGCGAACTTCCGTGCTCAGATCAGACCAAGATGCATGGTTGTGTGACTTACCACTAGTCAAACTGGTGGATGAGCGGGATGAGCTACAGGAGGACGAAGTAGAGCTGGGACGGCCACTAGAGCGTGAGGGAAAGCGGGAGCGGCGCTGCTTCTTAGCTTTCGATAGTTTCCCGGCGTTGCCATCCACGATAACGTTGCGCCTGTGCTTGATGTCGCTGGTGACCTTTGGGAAGCAGCGCGGGGCTCATAGGCTTGAAACTCTTTGATGCGGCGGCGGCCGCCTGTCTGCTTAACGATCGCGTCCATGTCCTCCGATGAGAGCAGTGGCAGGTGAGATAGCTCGGTGATGTTATTTTCCTGCTATGCTGCGATGGTATCCTGGCTGAGACCCATTTCGGCAAGGCTCCGTGGTGGCTGGGCTGTTTCTTGGCGTTGCTGGTCGGCACGGACTGGCGGTTGATCTTTCGGGTAGAAGTGATCAATCAGGAGCGCAAGGATCAGTATGCCCGCAGTATTCCTGCCTTCGACCAGCAGTCGGTATGCAGAGGTTTTATATAGGCTTGGCGGCGCGAGTAACCTGGATCCGGCTTAATAAGAAGTAGGCGAGCGATTGAAAGGGCAGAGTGAATCTGGAAGTTCGGGTGGGCGTTTATCAACAGATTTCTCCCATTAGAGAAATCTTCCCCATTGGGGTGAGAATGGAGATAACACAGTCATGGCGCTGTCGCGCATTATTTCCAAACTTAAACGTTGAAACAGAAAACATGTGGAACGACTCTTGCCAGTCCTGTACAAAGTGCATCCTATTGCGTTTACAAGTTAAAGTTTGGTAAAACTGCCCTAAGCGAAGTAATGATAGCTCCATTGGAAATTTCGTCTGCTGCGCTTGAATCTGTTTCAGATCACACCCGTGCAAACACCCGCCTCCTCCGCCATCCATGCCCTGTTAAACTGACTACAACAACACTCTGTGGAGCAGTTGTCACGTCACGTCATGGATTACATTTGGATAATCTGGTCGACCTTTGGAATGAACTGCTTCTTCCTACGGAAGCCTACCTGTCACTGACATCCTTTCGAAACGCTCTGGAGAATGTCGAATGGAACACACTAACAGCCACTAAACGACTCCTGGATGTTCGTTAGTCTCTTTTTTAAGTTCTATGTGTTCTCATGCCACACACTGCATAAAAATGTATCCCTGTTTTCTTTTTGTCTTCTTTCATGTTTGCTAATCACAATAATGTTTTGCTTTTATCTGTCTACTGCTGACTTTTGTCTGTTGCCTGGAGGGGGTTTCCGCCCCGTTGCAAAGGACATTAGATCAATCAATACATAGTATTGCATCCTATTGCATGTTTGTTTAATTTTGTTTGCATTTGACGGGCTTTGTACTGGGTCTGGATCTCGTTGGCAAGCAGTTGTGCAAATTCTGGGCGCCACATTTTCTACTCTGCAAACACACAATGTATCAAAACCAAAAATATTAGTACTCGTAATGCAAGTCGCTAGGCGAGCACTAAGTACGTTGCTTATCCGAAGCAAAATGCTACTTTACCCGCAGTAGAAAATGAAATCGATTATGTACTTGAAATGCGAGTACTTCGGCCGAGTTGCAACATGGTCCAACAATTCCAGTCCCGACTTTGAAAGCATAACAAAATTTTAAGAATCGCTTAATAAGAATACAAAAAATATGCAAAACACTATCTGGAATATAAGCCCTGCATGGGTCATCCTCCTGCAGATGTGTGGGTTCTTTGCCTATCCTTGCGAGAAGCGGCGGGCTCGTCATCTGCGCTACACCATGTATACCTAATTATCTATGCGACTATCATTCTGGTTTCTTACGGCTACGCCGTGTACCTCGATATCTACATGTACTCTTCCGGACAATCCTCCAGCTGGTCCACGTCCATCGTCATCCAGTTGGTCGACACATCGGAGCTCCTGTGCAACCTGGTGTGCATCGTTCTCATGCACAGATCAAGCAACTGCATTATTGACCTGATCAAGAACCTGGATCAATGTTACGGCTCGCGCCTAACGCGCCACGACCGGTGTCTGTTCCTCCCGGCTGTTTTTATTTTCACTGCGCTGGCTGTATGTAAATGCGCCGCTCTCTTCTTCTTTCGGCAGTCGGTGTTTTCTGGCATCAACCGACAATAATTTACTCCTGAAAACCCCGCCTTCTCTCATGGGCTGGTGGGCGCACGTCGCTCTGGCCATGATCGATGTGACATTTCTCGGCCGGGATCTGCTTCTTGGGTTTCTCGTATTTATTATCATCTGCACCAGCGTTATTGTGCAGCGGGCGACAGTCTTCGCCGGCAAGTAGTCAGTTCGGGATTGGCGGCCGTTGACGATTATGTACGCCACTCACAACTCACCGGCATTGTGCGCGAATTAACGGGCTGTTTGTCGACGGCTGTCGGGGTGCGCTGTTATACGGCGGTCGCGGGGATTATTGGGAAGACATTTGATGCCAGCTGGCTGCCGGCGCCAACCGCCGAGCTGGTTATCGCTCTGGTGATATACGTTTTCTCATTTTGGCTGCTGGACACTGCGTGTGTGTATTCGGCTGAACAGGTAACCCTGACAATATGAGTACCTATGTAGTATGTACCACTATGAGTTTTATGGGTACGACGGTGTACCGTACCTCTATGGGCTTTTACTCCGTTTGTTTATTTGTTTTCTTAAAAGAAACAGTAAGTCCGCTGTTTTTTATTTCCTGTACTTTTGTACCAGAAACCGTTTCTGGTATCATGGACAGTCTGGCATACAATACTGTATACAGTACTCGTGAGTCGTGATGCCTCGTACATGTAGGACTGCATACAGCACATGCCTCGTTTCAACGTATACTGAGCAAACAACGGCTTCTCTGTTCGAACCCGGTGCTGGCGTTCCCTGACTTCATGTTCGACCCTGTTCGTTAATTTTGTTATAAAAGTTTAAAACCGCGGACCTACGTAATAGCCGATTTCCGTTTCTTAATTCTCCATTGTATAAACCGGTATACAGTATTTTGTGCAATGGTGAATTGGATTCGTATAATTGATGCTCTTCTGAAACCGAGAAAGCCGTCCCGACCGAGAAACCGTCCGCTTCCGAAAATTTGCAGTCCGGTAAACCTGTCCCCGTTAAATCTAAAACGGTTTGACGACTAAACAGCCAAAAGCATCCGGCGGACAGTTTTGCCGTATGGACACGTCGTAAAATTCATGTCTGCTACAGAATGATGTTTTAAATGGTCGCAGAATGAATAAAAAGAATAAGAATGAATAAAAAGTCGCATCAAGTGTTTTATCATAAGTGTGCAGCGGGAAGCGGCAAGAGGTTTGATTGGCTACACAAACTTTCTGACGGCTGCAAGCGGCAAACGCGGGTTGAGAACAGAGCCAACGATGGAATACCCCACACAAAAGATACATTCAAAATTATTTATGCAAAAGCTTTTTGCCGTTCTGTGATGGGCGTTTGTTGGCAGGGCGAACGAATGGCGGACACTGCTGATCTGTGCCTCCGCGTTGGAAAACGGCACTGGAAGAAGGAGGAGTGCATCCCACTGTATCTTCGCGACCGTGAACCTACGCGGTACACGGTATGCTTTATACCTTGGCCGGGATTTTCGTCAGTCGGGAAAGCGTCGTGCAGGTACTGTACGATTACTAGATTTAACACAGACGATGGACTAAAGTGGACGCTGGCTGTACCACGTAATTATTAAGATTTCATCCCAATTCACTACTTTACCGTAGACGTTTCCAGAGTATGTTTAAAAGTGGCTGCTCGGTGTTCACTGAGGATGCATCTGGTTATTGCAGGTTGGCGCCGCATTAGCCGGCACCTTAATGGTCTTTGCCGAGCTGGCCAGCGGGAATAAACCGTCGGACTGCGCGCCGGCTGCGAATACGACGCGGAGTGAAAGTGCCACAGAGTGCGAGAAACCGCGAACTCTGATAAAATACCCCGCGCGCTAAAAAGAAACCTAAGAAACCTAAGAAACCTAATAAACCTAGGAAACCTAAGAAACCTAAGAAACCTAAGAAATATCGTATATGAAAGAACACGAGGTAT